TTTTTTTKCTCTTTTAGACCAATATAATGGCAATGGGATGTAATTCAGAGCACAATGATGTGCATTTAAAATTTAGATGGCTGTTCCCTTAGATCATGTTCATATGTCTTATGACCTCAGACTTTCCTGTGTGTTTGACACTGCTTKTTTGTCTACAGACGTCGGGTCCTGAAGGATCGTTGAAGGATGGCGCCAAGAACTCTCTGCAGAAAAGCTTCAGGGTCCTTAATGAGGCCAAGATGTTAGAAAGTGATGTAAAAGGTATGTGCAGTATATGGCATTCAGACACATTAAACAGAGAAAAAAACCCATTGTGAGACTGCTGTGCTTCTGGTATGAAGAAGCTGTATCAGTAGGAAAAAAGTATAATTCATTAATTGATTCGAAATTGAACAGTGTATTTAACAATGAATGAACAAATATTGAACAAATGAATTGAACAATGTATCAGTGAAGAAGATTCTCCTGTTTTATGTCCAGGCATTGTGCAGGAGTTCTTGTCCTCTCTGTCCGTTTCTTGGACARGAAGGCTGAGGAGAAGGGAGCTTAGGTCTGCTCTTGCTAACTACAATGAGGGCAAGAGTAAGTGGGGGGAAGAGGGGCGTGGAAATACTGATTCTGATTTGCTCTAGCAGAAAACTAGTACCAAAATCAAACCCAATGTTAAATTTTTATTCTTGTCAATACACATCTGGTTTTGCAATGGTAGCAGGAGATTCGTCTCTTGAGAGTGTATAAAGGGGTTTTGCCTGGAAATGGAAGCATGGGGAGGTCTAATGAAGCTGTTTGACAAACAGAGTAATGGGCGAGAATTGCTMAACATTTCCTTTAAGAGAACAAAAAGCAAACAAAAGACTGAGAAAATGTCTGTAGAGAAAAAATTTCAAACACTCAAGAAGATTTCTGTTTCTAAAGCATCAACACATGTCTAAATGCAAGCTAACTCATAAGATTCATAGGTGCCAAATCAAATGCTTTGGTTTCCTAGTGAAAAATAAAACATCTTTCATTTCTCTTTGGTATTTTCCACGGGGGACCAAAAAATAAGGTTTTGATCCATGGTGTTCAGTGTGCTGTAAAAGCTAATAATTCAGGTCACACTGTGTATCATTTCCTTAGTATTTTCTCATTAGTAACTGGGAGTATTCCTAATGGATGCCATAGTGTGAGAAGGTGGGACAGTAGTAAGTGGAGACACATAGGAGGTCTTACATGAATAATGAGCTGCAGAAATGCAGAATGGTGAGCAATTGTTTGAGTAGCCTTTCTGTAAAACACAACTAAAGAGATGCATGGATCRTGTGTTGGGTAGAGGTGGTAAAGGCAGATGTCGCAGAGGAATGCATGAATAGGTACATGCTTTCCAAAACATTTGAAACAATACTTCCCGCTGTTCGGGGTTTCTCATGCCTTAGCAAAGATACTGCCTACAGTGATGAGCACTGAACTTTATGAGGGCTGAGGTGGTTGGCAGAGTCCTGAAAACACCATGAAGACTAATTAGTGATCTTGCAGAGGAGAGATGAGGAGAAAGATTGAAATAATGTAGATTTGGAATGTRGCTAGAGAAATAATCAAGAGGGTTTAATATTCTTCAATAAGTCATGGTTTCTCCAAAGCAGATGGGACTGACATATCACAAATGCACTGATACCAAAAACATATTCGGCAAATCTTCATTGTGATTAAAATACAGATGTACTGCATTTGATTGCTGAGAAGATTAGGGAGATAACAACCTTTGAAAATCTTTGAAAACAGCTTAGATGAACATCAGTGAGGAATGGCTGTTGGTCAGAAGAAGAAAAATGATCTTTGGACAAATACTTGTTCAGAGCCTCTGATTAAATTATCTGATCATTGAAACCAAAAAACAGTTTATTTCTTGGGTCTTTATCCAGACAGATTGTTTTATAGGTCCTGTAAGAAAATACTTGTTGCAACACTAATGAAGCATTTGTTTAACAGTACTCAATACTTCTTTCTCCACAGCACTCCTAGGAAGGAATTGAAAAAATAATTCTTTTCTACTAAACCTGAGGGGAAACAAATATGATACAATTATCCACTTTTGAGTAGGCCAAAAAATGTGAAAAATGTTAAATGTTACTGCTTTAATTACTTTAATTTTGCATATAACAAAGAAAGCAATTTAGGAGCGTTGAGTGTGTCAGTGGTATAGYGAAGTCTGAGAGGAGGATCAGTTAACTGAGTCCTCTGTACAACTATTTGAAAGTCTTCCATCTGAATACTAAGTCCAAGTTGATGCTTTTGAGAATTATGTCAAATTAGTGAATTGTAATCCCCTCCTTTTAGTAATTTGAAATTTTGGTGCGTGTATTTTGAGAAGCTTATGTCCTGTAACTGTAGTTTTTGAAAAATTCCTTCATATTAAATGCATTATAGTTCAGTCTGATTGAACTAGCTGAAGCTATAATTGGGTTAACCTGGAGTTAACCACAAGGATGGAAGAAGCACAGCACCTGGAAACTGCTGTGAGAGAACAGATTTAGGACTTGGAAGAAATAAAGACAAGGGGGAAAAAGCAGGTTCTGAAAATCAAGCTGGCCTTTCTCGTGTTCTCTTTTTTTAWTTTTTTGTTTTCATGCATCAGAACTTGAAAAATTGCATACAGTAAATATTAGAGGCTGAGTTTTAAAATAGTCACAGAGATGATGCATGAAGTTCCCTGTCCTGCTAGCTTAGTTAAAATACTTCTTACTAGAAGCAAGACAGATTTTCATAATAGAGCCCTATCTTTCATGTTTTTGCTTACAAAATTCTCTTTGGCCTCCTGGGAGATACATTAAGAGCATACAGCATAAAGGAGGAGATCCATACAGCTTAGTCATCTTTTGGCTATTACTACACTTTAATTTAGTTTTGGCAGMTTTAGGATTTCCAACTGCAGAACTAGTTAACAAGTAAACATTATGTTTAATAAGGTTGTAAAGCATAATGCTTCATAAGGTCATTAATTGCATTTCACTGTCATACACTGTTTGAAAGTGAGAAACATCATTACTTGCTTGTAGCCGAACTGAGGGAGAGAAATGTRTCTGAGTTTCTAGTAAATCTTGGATGTATATTTAGGGTCTTCTTTATTGAGACTCTCCACTGCCAGATTCAGTACAGATTTAGGGCTGGAGGAACATATTTCAGGAAATATGTTATAGAAAATCACAAGAGTGTGAGAAGAGGCCAGTGTGCAATTTCAGTAGTATGGCTGAAGTAGACAAAAATAGAGATGCTTTCTGGAATGCAAACTGCTGCAGTTTGCCATGGCTGGTGTATAAGAAACAGTAAAACAGCCACAGCATTTCAGGGAGCAGACTGGACACCTCACAGTGGAGTCCACAGCTCTCTGCCCCCCAGGCAGRTGTAATGGAGTAAAGCACAGTGCTGTGCTTTCAAGGACAAATTAAAATGGTATCTCTACGAGGATGCATGTGAATTCCATGTGTCCACAAGACTGTTCAATTTAACCCTGAAACAAGAGATATTACAATCATTACTGCAGAAAATTTTGAAAAAAAAGTAAGTTTTCGCATCGTACCAGTGAGAATTTGTGTTGATAACAGTTTTATAATTCAGAAGCAAATGTCCAAACACACCAAAGATTCATTAAGCAAACTTAATGCAAGCAGGCAGCAGTGCTTAAAATTCACATATTAGATCTTTGTCTATGTTTTTGCCCCAAACGGAAGGGTAATGAGATTGAGCTTTCTTAATGCTCTCCAACACATCTTAAAGTGCTTTATAAAGACAAACATTCTGGACTTGAACAGGGTGCCTTTTTACATCTGATAAAACATGTCCGTRCTCCACAGCTCAACCCATGGAGCTCAGTTAACATTGTGCCCAGAATCTAGATGTGTAGGAAGAAAACACAGTGTCAGATTTCTATTCCCCACTCTGCTTTTGCACCAAAGTGGTGATATTATTAGTATTGTGAGTAACATAGAACATATTTTACTATTATTATGAASATAATCCCTTCTGGAAGTCTTGAGTTTCATACGACAGAAAGTGAGAGTTCAGTGGCAAACTAATGGAAAGATGTTTTCTTAGAATCCTTATAAAGCCACCCTTTCAGAGCCTCAGCTGGAAATGCAGGATGGCTAATGGGCACTCCATAAAGATCTGGTAGACAGAAGTAATGACTAGCTTAAAATTTCTCTGTCTGCACTACAGGAAGTACATTAGTTAAAGTAATAAAGACCCATAAGCCACTCAACTAATACACACTCCAAAAATCCAGCCTGGGCCATGGTACAGATGGGGGTGTTTTCTTCCTACATTATGGCATTCGCCTGATTTGTGGCCAATTACCTGAGTTATAAAATAGCTGTTAATCATGAAAATGTTTTATACTAYCACTAAAGACTGCTGAAACAGTCCTTACAAAGCAAAGCTTCTGACAGAAGCTATTAAAATAGAGATTTAGTCATTTCTCTCTCTATGTGGCTAGGAGTTAGAAAGAATAACCCTGGTGGGAGAGGCAAAATCTGTGTGTAGTGTTGTGGCTAAGATGGAATTTTGAAACTTTGGCTACCAGTGAGTAAATGCTGCTGCCTGCTAGCTTCATTTTCTCTATGCCTTGAGGGATTTTTCAGTTTGCCAGGAGCAGTTTTTCTTCCTTATAATTTTGAATTCATAGTTTTAAAAATATACTTACTCCAGTGCATATTTGAGACTGYATACAGACTTTGTCAAAACTGATCAATGAAAAGTGAAAATAAGATGCATAAACTCCTCTTCAGCCAGAGACTGCTGTCAGGTGGCTACTGAAATTCTGCTCRTGTAATTTCTTTTGCTTAAGAATTGCAACTTGAGGAGGACTCGGCTTGTCTGACAACACATGAATATTTTTAACTAAAACATTTTCTAGCTGATAGGCAACATAGCCAGCTGATAGATCGTTGTTTGTGTATTCTCCTCTGCTTTGTCTTTCTGCTGACCTGGCRTATTACATTCACCAGGTTGCTGCAGTTAGTGATGAAAGTACTCTTTTTAAAAAGTTAAACTTAATTAGCTGCATTTCTCTAGTTMCTTCTCTTTCTTCTATTTGTTCCTAATGCCAGTTTCTAAGTCTTGCTTGGTTTAGGGAAGAAAAATTGAATTTGTGACCCATGTTCCTCTTTATAGGATGAGACTGTGGGGAGCAAGAATGCTATTTGGAAGTAATACAAATGTAACAGAAAGGGATGTGTGTAACAGTCAGTTCATTCCTGCAGTTTCCAGTCAATAAAAACAGATGCATTTGTTGCTCCTTGGTAGATTTCCACCTTTAGTCTGATTTTGGGATATGTGCGTTTGGTAGCATAGCCTTATGGATATTTTCTTGGACAGTTTCATGTTGAAAAACTGTGTTTATCCATACCATCACAAGATACCTGTTTCCATCATGTTCCACTATGATGGTGACACATCATCAGCAATTAACCAGTGTCACCTKTGTATGTGATCTGCAGAGACTTGTAAAAACAGTATCTCCTGTAAGAGTAAAGCACTCTGTATAAACAGTAACAAAATTCTTGAGTGCATTTTAAGATGAAATATATGCACACAGTGTTGTTTGGGTTTTTTTTTTCATTTGGCTCACTTCAATTTATTCACTCAGAGGAATAAGGAATGATGGTTTATCCTGTAATGCTCGGTTTAATTTAAACAGAAATTGAAAACCTTTGTTGATGTTAACCAAGCCAGCAAAYCTATAGGCTGATACATGCAAAGTCCTTCAGGTTCCTGCTTTAGGTTTTAGTTTCAGCAATGCATGACTGGTTTTGCTGATTTGAACTACAAACAGTGCATTTATTGGCATCTTGTGCCATCTCTGTGCAGAGCTAATCAAGTGGARACAGGATTGAGAGAAATTTCTCATGATACTCCTCAACCTACACTTTAATGAGAGTTGACAGTGCCTGGMATCTTTCAGTGCAGACCTTCCAACCTCTTCCGAGTCAGATAGGCTCTGTAGTTTGGAAAAACTTAGATTGTAACTGCCTGTATTTTGACTAACTTTAGTGCTTAACTGGAAGATCTTGGGCATTCAAATCATTGTCCCAGCTTTTTTCATAAATGCTAATAATTAAAGGATGTGGAAAAGCTGATGTGAAGTCAGTTTAGTTTGTGAKTCATGGAACAAATTAGTCCAGTGCTTAGTGAAGAGGCTATCTGGATTACAAGATAAAAAGTTACTTYAAAACAAAAACTTAATATCTCTGTGAAAAATCCACTATTTCCTTGAAAAGCTGRCACAGGACATAGTATCTCCTCAATTCTCTTTGTGTAAAAGCCTCCCTAGGAACACTTATTTATGGCTTTATTACTGTAATTTTAAAAAAAATGTATTTGAGGGATTAAAGGAAAAAATATTTAACAGGTAGCGTCTCAATATTCAATTTCCCTAGAAGTGAAACTTCTAGGAAAACTTCCTTTGAGAAATGCCATAAAAACCAGTTTGCTGCCATGGTTACAAAGATGAAAACAGAAGTCTGGAAACATGATTCTTCAGAAATACAACCGGGGGATAATTAGCATGTTGGATATGGCAGAGTAAAGAGGAGAAAAAGAGATAATTTAGAAGTAKTCTACAAAGTTAGAACACCACCACCATGAAGGAGTCAAACTTCTTAGAAATATTGACACACTTTATAAACACTAACATCCCACCAGAGACACCATGAAATATCAGTCAGACTGTAATTTCAGAGTTAGATGGTGGAAATTAAAACAGTTTTGTCAGTATTATTACTTAACAAGAGAAGAGCTCAGATGAAATCTCAGGACATACAGGACCAGAATCTCATGAGTTCATCCTGGTTTAACAATATCACATTACCAATAGCCACATTCAGCAGTGAGGACAAAACCTTTCATTTAAAAATAAAGCTGTTTTTAAGGAGAAGAATGATCATATAATATATGCAATTCTTCCAAACTTTATTCTAGTGCTAACTGTGCCTCTCACAGTTCACAATATTCTGGTTCCTCTGTCCTGTTCCTCGGCAAAACTTTTGCTGGAGTGAAGGRTTATCTCCCAGCACTCCTGCAGTCCTGTATGTTGCTCTAATTTAAATAAAAGAAACAGGTGTCTTCCTCAATGACATTTCAAAAGGTCTAACAACAAAAGTCTAGTTCTCATTTAAATTCTATGTGCTGTTTCAGCCTTGCTATAGCCTTGGAAAATTTAATTAATAATTTCTTACAGGCAATAWAATTTTTGTTTGATTTTTCTTTTTACAAATTGCTTCTTGCACATCTAATTTTAAGAAAWCATACTTTTTTAGAGTTTGTGGAATGTGAACCACATAGATGTTTATTTTCAGCAACCTGTCATGTACCTGAAGGTCACAGTCATAGCTTGTATCCTGAACTCCTTTTCTACAAATTCTTCTTTTCTTCTGGCTATCAAGCTCAGTGATGTTGAATTAGTTTCTCAGTAGGATATGCCTTTAAGGTAAGGAATTACCTGCTGTCTGTTCCAAAGAGCTTCATGTTGATACAAAGAAATAGAGAAATGCCCACTACAATAGTAGCTTAAGCATTAACTACATTTTTTTTTGTGTCAAACTTTACTTCTGAATTTTGGAATAATCTCTGTTTCAATAGCCTTATGGCTTAACTGGGATCTCAGTTTTGATATTGCTGTATTGCTCTGCTGGATACTGTTCAAAGGACCCCCTGTAATTGTTATTCAAAGTAAATGCTGAAAAATAGGAACTTATTTGTAAACGAGGACAGCAGTTTCAACTGTAATGTACCAAATATCTGTGCCTTCGATTTGTACTAGAAATTTGATTTGATGGATGTTATTTAGTAGATGGGCATTTATTTAATAATAATAATAATAATAATAATAATAATAATAATAATAATAATTTTTAGTGCATTCATCTCATATTGAAGCTCAGTGATCTTGTGTTTTCTTCAAATGTTATGTCAACATCTTTGAGAAAATCCAAGAGAACAAGGCTCTGGACACTCAAATTTCAGCAGCAAGCTGGCCTAATCGGTCTTGTCTTTTTCTCAACTCATTCAACTCAGGCAACCACCTTAGAGAGAAGAAAGGCAGTAGCTTAATCTAGGAATCAAAACTATKACTAACATCACAGTTGAATCTATCAGTGCACCTTCATGTGAATTGGTCTAAATCATAACATGATAATCATAAGCCATTCTTTCCTCTGCACACCTTTGAAAAAACTTTGATAAATATACAACAGTACAAGGAACTCAAGCATTTAGATACCATGGAAATAGGGAACTTAAAGAAACCAATGAAGATGATTAGTGAACCCCGCAACAAGTTCTGCTYGACTTCCTTATTTACACAATTTGATATCTCAATGGAAAATGGCCAGCTTATTGTGCATTTTAAATTATGTGCCAAGAAAGGATAGTGAAAACAAAGAGTTAAAGCTTCTATATCATATGCACTTTTTACAGAAGAGGATGATAATCTGGACAGCATGCAGAACAGGCTGAAAGATGCTGATGAGAAGAATTCCATTCTCCTGAAAGCTTTGAATGAAACCTTAGGAAAGCTGTCAGCCATTCCAAATGGTAAGTTGGAAAAGTGTTGCAACATTTGACTCAGTCCTGCTCGTCTGTTTCTTTTTCCATCACTTTACCTTTATCTCATCAGTCTTTGCCTGTATCCACACTGGGTCCACTTTGACCATTGGCTGTTATAAAATGAAGATGAGCAATGCAAGAGAGAAAGCTGAACTGAAAATATTTGCATGGTATCAGTTTGAATTTTGGGATGGTAAAAGGTGCCATGCTTCTGCAGTTTGCAGAAATTTCTTTTCTGAAAGAAAATTATGATATCAGGAATTATGATACACTCCAAGACAGTCCTTTGTTTATACGTGAAAAGTCTTTCTGAAGCTACTGTTTRTGAACCACTGTAATTTCAAGTGTTATGTAAGTGTAATTTAACCCAAGAAGAATAGGACTTACTGACTTTACAGAAAAAGYAGGGTGAAATTTGCTGGGTTTTGTCTTACCTTTTCACCCCACTCTCAGCATTCCCAGCTGCTGTTTGGTGCTGTACATCTTTTTAGCCTGTARATTGCTTAGAACTGGAACAAGTTTTCCTCAATGGGCTCTGGAGTGCTGTGCTCTTATGACCCATTTCTGAAGGCAAGGGTGACTGAGGCTCTTGTTAATAGATCACTGGGGCAGGTTAGAATGAAATCATACTGAATGACCAGTGTTCATTAGATATATAGATAGATGGATAGATAGATAGATAGATAGATAGATAGATACATACATACATACATACATACATACATACATACATACATACATACATACATACATAGATGTATATGTACATAAATATAGCAGGTTTATTTTAGTACAATTGGATTTCAGTAAAAAGGGGAAAGTAATGTAATAGCCATTTTAGTTATTAACTATAGAAATATGACAATATAAAAGTATAAAAATATCACTGAAGAAAATATGTAAGGAAAATAAAGAAAGGAAGAAAGAAAAGGTAAGAGTAGTTAGKGGAGAGGAAAGATAAGATCACATGCAGATCAGTCAGAGATTTGGTTGTTGCAATTTAGATAAATTAGTTCCTTGATCAAAGTGATGRTCACAGTCTTGATCCATCCAAGGTGGGGGAAGCCCCACACAACATAAAGTTCAGTGGGTTAAGATGCCTTCAGGTTCAGGTGGGCACATCCAGGTACCTCCCCTGGAAGGGAGTTTTAAACTGATGGGACACTCCACTCGGGATCATGTTCTGTGCTCTGGTGAAAAGCCCCAGAAATKAGTCTGAGGTCTTTGATGACMCTTTCTAAGGCMTGATTGCTGTTTCTCCCACCAKTGTAGTTGGRYCAGGTATGYCTTATCAGAAGGGATGAGCACTTCAGGCCTATGTGTGAATGTCCCAATATATCCCCCAGGGTATATACCTTACCAGCTGTGTAAGGAAGGATATTGGCATGATAAAAAGCATTATCCCACCTCCACARCATTTGCTTCTTATCAGYCTTTTTCCTTATCTGGCAGAAAAAACATCTTGTTGCTGAGCAAGGGGTTTTTTTTGTTTTAGTCATCCTCTGATGATGGGTGATCACCCCCAGGACACTGAGCTGTTCTTATGCAAATCAGAGGTTTCACCACCACACACSCAAAAACTCCAACCCCATACCTCAGCATAGCAACCTGCTGTGTTTGCCAATGGACATTGCTTGAGTCGTTAACCTTTAACATTTCAGTGTCTCACATTTGTCATTCTAGGTGGACTTTTTTCTTTTTCAAAATGTAGTACACATCAAAATCCCAAAGTCCTGGGATGTTAGTTACATCACATTGTGATAGCAAGGGATAGGGAGCTACAACGCAGTTTCAGTCTAATGAACAGTGAAAGATAAAATGAATGTTTAAAAAAAACAAAAKATTTTAAATCAATGTATTTTGCTGTGAATTTCTCTCCAAGGAGCACTTTATAAACTGAAGTTAGGCCATGAGAAAAGTCTCTGAAGACAATCTRTATTCTTCTGATTTTTGATGGTCTAGAAATTTCAGACTGCAAGTAAACCCTTAGCATGAAAAACAATTTTCTATTCATCTTGTATATTTTTGTGACTTTAAGATTCCAGCTAACTGAAAAGTTTTAGATATAATAATCCTTGAATTCAGGCATTCACGAAATAAATTGTTTAATTTTTCATGCTCATCATGTACCATTCCTTGGATTTTGGTCACAGATATTGATGTGGGTATTTGTCTTCTTGTGCACAGATAGATGTCGCCGTCAACTGAAATGGACCTCTAAGGCCTGTTAACCTTAGGACACAGAATGCTAAATATGGARCAAGTAAAAGTAATGTGAAATATGCAATCATTAGCAGTCATAAACTCTTGGCAGATTAGAGTTACAGGGTGCTTGCTCTTGGCACAAGGACACTCAGAAAAATAAGCACATGAGTATTAAGACTGGAATTCAGAGCAAATAAATGGCATGGATAAGAAAATGCAATAAATTCCAACAGGAAAATAATCAAATGAGGAAGGGAGAGAAAATGACCCTGTCATATATCTCGTTCAAGGATTTGAGAAAACAGAGAGCAGCTTAAACTAATAATTCTTGTGTCCCTGCTATACTCACAGTCACATAAAAGCAGAAAGATTCAGAATGAGATTGACAGATTGCATGTGGGACAAGGACCCACATATGCAGGGATGGCATAATATGAAGTGTGGCTGAAAATAATTTGTAGGACTAATAGAAGGTGGTAACACAGTAACTCCAAGTTTCACTCAACCAGAAAGGTGCATGATCTCTACTAATGACCCCAAAAGGAACTGCTCAGATATGATGAAAAAAGGAAGTGAAAAAAGGCATTCAGGGTTACCTTTTCTTTCTCTTGTCAGGCCTGACAATGATGATGGTTTATTAAAGATTCAGTTGTATTTCTCAGGTGCTATTGTATTTTGAGGGTTTTTCAGAGCCACAACTTCAGAAATAAGGGTGGAGTTTTTTGGACCACAGGCATAATATATCTTTACTCAAAAAGTTCCTTCTTTACTCTGGTCACTCATAATTTTCTACCTACAGATACAGCTATAAAGGTACAGGCAGCCAAGGACAAAGCAAGACAAGCCAATGATACTGCAAATGACGTCCTGGCCCAGATTAAAGACCTCAATCGGAATCTCTTRGGCTTGAGAAAAAACTACAGTAAACTTACAGACGATGTGGCCAAAACAAATGCAGTTGTGAAGGACCCAATCAAGAACAGTAAGTTTTGGGTTTTTTTTTATTTGGTGTTGTTATTTTTTCAGTTTGTGTTTTTCATTTCATATCTCAAGCTGAGACACTCCAGAATTTAACTTCCATGGTATTACTGCAGTATGCTGGGATAAAAGGACTTTCTATCACTTCAGTTTTCTGGGCTTCTTATATGTGAAAAGGGACCAAAGATCCCCTTGAACCCTAACAATTCTGTGATTCTGTGAAAAGAGTTTTAAATCTTAAYGACTAGTGCTAGTAGTTGGAAGAAAAGCTAATGTCAGCGGGATGAACATGTGGATAGATTTGTTCCTCAGACTACTTTTTAAAGTKTTTAGGAGGTGAATAATCAAAGATTCTGACTGGCAATTCACTGCTTGATTCAAGAAAAATACCCCTCACTAAATCTGTCTTCAGTCAATCAGATAATCAGTCCTGGGAGAAATGCATGACTTCTTTCATATACGTTCCTATTTTTGGTAGAACACTGAAGACACTTAAAGAAAAGAAAGAAAGAAGATTCTGGGAATGGGGTTTTGTCTGCATTCTTTCTTTTTCTTTTTTTTTTTTTCCCATGAATTCTTTTATCAAATGTGACAATTACTTTTGTATTTTCACTTCGGTTAGGATGGATAAAAATGAGTTCTAGATTACAATACATTTTRTGGTACATTGCTAGACCATCCATATAATATAGGAGTAGACAGCCACAGARCTAGAGTGTCTTTAGAAAATGATTGAAGAACTAATTTCTCAGCTATTTTGAGTTCCCCAGATTGTTATCAGCTTGATGAAGCTGGGCACCTAAAAACATATAGTTTTGGAGGCTGTCATTCYCGTTCTGTGGACAAATGTGCTCTTCCAGTTGTTGCTGTAGCAGTGAAAGAAGTTAATCCCAGTGGTTGTTTGTCACTGCCTGTCTATTGCAAGTTCCCCATCCCTCATCAGCTGAGATACATGTGTGAGACCCAGTACACTTCCCACTGGGCAGGCTGATCCATACAAGTTTAGACAATATGGAAAGGAGTTATTGATTGAAATAGTGTGGGGAGATTACAGCTGGGTTATAGAAGCAGCAGATCTTTGAGGATTCTTGCAGTGTAACCTCTTGCAGGGTAGTAAGAACCAACAGAGAAACAGTCTTAAAGCAGTAATTTCCTGGCACTGCTGAATCTAGACTAAGCTGTCTGTCCCAGCACAAGTATTCTARTTGAGATTAGGAGTGATAATTTAAAATTTAATCTCTTGACTGTCCCCAGTCACCATTATTCTGTTTGCATTGAAGAGTGGTCTTAACACTTGCAAACCGTTTCATGTCAGATAAAGCTAAACTGTAAAATGTTCTCCAGAAGTACACTTCCTCATTGTCCAAATGTTARTGGATACTCAGATTACAGAATGAAATTAAAGTTATGCAGGGTGAACCATTCCAGATATGTAAAGTAATTATGCTGGCACTCATGATTACATGCAAAAGTAGGCATAGCCTCTCTTCCATGTCAAAATTCAGGCCCTGAATTCTCATTTTGATAGAWATGCAGTATTTAAAAGGCAGAAAGTTATTTATAGGCTCATCCTGTCCCTTACTTTACTTTACTTTTCTGTTTAGGTCTTCAAAACATTCTCTTAAGTTATCTTCTGTCTCTTAYATTATCCTCTGTTTTTTCTCTTTTCTTTGTCTCCATATCTTGCCTGCAGAAATCTGTACGTACATTTTCTTACTTGCAGCTTTTAGTGTGTGTTTTCCAGTAAACAATGATTCACTGCTTACCACCACAGCTTCTGCATGGTGCTCAATGTTTCCCATTCATTGAAATAGCTAAATAATTGTTTTCTGAAAACTTTGAGGTAAAGTGACTTGGTAGCTAGTTTAACTTAAACGTCAAGAAGCTTCTTGAAGCTTTTGGTATGAGTGTTTGGGTCAAAAACTATGCAGTTTTTCATGCTTTATCTAAGCATTATTTTTATTGCTATTATCATGACTATTATTTTTATGTAMTATGCGTCTTTCTGGTGGTAAATGCATGTTTATCCCTTTCAGTGTCATCCACAAACACCCACACCCTCATGTGAGCTGAGTAGTCACTAGTTGTATGTTGAGAGGCAAAAAAAGGAATTTCAGGCTTAAAAAAAAGAGAAGCAAAAATATCCTTGTAAAATTAATTAATTCATTTGAAAAAAATATTATTTAGTTCATTTGAAAAAGAAAAACATTTGTAATTTACTGTCACTGCTTTTAAATCTGCTCTCAGTAACACACAGAATTTTAAGCTTGGAACYAGAATAATACCTTTTTGTATTTGTGCCCATTATAGTTAGTTCAAKAATTAATTTCAAGGTAATTTTAACCCAGTAATTTCAGAAATTACTAATGGAAACTAACCAGTTTTCATTAATCTAGCATTTTACTTCAAAATTTGAGGCTTTTTAAAAGAAGAAAGCAAATATTTMTTTCATAAATGTATTTTGCTACAGGAAATGTTTTCCGTAACTATTATCCTGATACGAAGCATAGTTACCTCTCCAGAATCCTGCTTTAACACCAATGTTTGCTGTTACTGCTACTTTAACTTGATTCTAAACATTCTGGAACTACCTTATTCTGTTCAGGTATCTTCCTGGCCTGTGTGTATCTCATAGTAGCCTAAACAATCACCTGAGCATTGTGTATGCAGAATTTCCTTGGATTTTATTATTGCAATGTGTAATAGACTCTGACACTATTGTCTAAAGCTCTGCCTTGTTCTTTCTTATGAAGTTGCTGATGCAGACTCCAGTATTAAAAACCTAGAAAAGGAAGCAGATCGCCTGTTAGATAAAATCAAGCCAATCAAAGAGCTTCAGGATAATTTAGGGAAAAACATTTCTCAGATAAAAGAGCTGATAAACCAAGCTCGGAAGCAAGCCAATTCGGTAAGTCCTATTTCTCAAAAAAAATGGCCTTTTGTGTATTGATGGGATTTATTTTCTATTTTTTTATTTCTTTTCTACAATGTGAATCCTTCCTAATTTTAAACATGTGTGAAGAGAGCAAATAAGGGAGTGTAATTTCTCAGATAAAAAGAATACTCTGATGATTTTTCACTGTGTGTCTTGTTTCTTCCTTTAAAACATGCACTTGTTAAATGAATAACATCTGTTGGAATGGATCTCAAAAGGCTATTTTCTAAGAAGTACTGTAAGTGATAGTACAGCAGAAGAGTCACAATATTGATTTTTTTGTGAAAACAAAAATGTGTTTTTCTGCTTCAGCACTGATATTAAGCCCCTGRTTTCATTTCATAGAACTTCTATTACTCAAGAATGACACCATCTCAGACTCACTGAAATTGCTGAGTATATCTGCTTTTCCCRTATTTTTGATTTTTCTCTGTCCAGTAGCAGCACTGAGGACTTGAACTTGAGTTAAGAATAAATATATCTCTAGTCCATTTAGTGAGTTTGGAGTCCATCTCCCTGATTCAGTAATCCTATCAACTTAAGGATCATCTGGTTAATATTGAGGTTATTCAGCTTCTGACCTAATTAGCAAAGGAAAAAAATCATGTAGGTGGTACTGGAGAAATGTTCCTGAAAATGGTTGAAAAATAGTTGACAAAAATAATCTAAAAGAATAGGATATTGGGAAAGAAATGTATTCCACATATGTGATGAAATAAAAAGACAGGCTGCAGTAATGATATGTTTGGCACATCCATCCTCTGTCTGAAGGCTATGAAGTATTTAACTGCTCAGTATTCCTGAGATCAGGAAATTTTGAATTTGGTCCTATAATGGGTCTCCTTTTTAGCAGAGCTTGCCYTAAGCAGAAGATGATTATGTACATTATGTACATTTCTTCTAATGCATAAACACGTCTAGCTGGGATTGAAACACCGTTGTACTGTCATTATGTCTGTGCTGGCATCGTGAAAGCAAACAGGGAAGTGTTTTTATCTGTGCTCAGAGCCTGAGGAAACCAGCACATGTATCCAAAYGCATATGTCACTCATTTGTGGAAATAAAACTTAGTTATGAATGCCAATGCCATTAGGGGACCATGTAAAAGCAGTGATAGACATAACTGTTGGTTTAAAAARTAATTGTGAAAAGATGTCTTAAATTGGCATAATCAAAGATATTACAAGGGGAAAATWGATAAATCTTCTCACTAGCCAATAGCAATATGCTGTAATTCCTTCAGGAGAGCTGCTTATTTTCCTAGCATATTCTACTTATAGACTATCTGTACTGCTAGAATTCCACTGTTACTTGCATTAGACCAGTATATCTTCTAGTTATTTTTAATATACGCAGTTGATCCTTTAAATGTGAATGCCGGAAAGAGATTTTATTTCCTTTTAACGAACAATCCCAGAAAGAAAATTCCATTTCTACCTTCTTCGCATATTCAAGCAACTCCCTGGTACATGTAACAAAAAAAAAATTGAAGGACAAAGAAATGTATGATAGTTTTATGATTATTTGGAAGCATCTATGGTTAATTCTGGAATAACAAGCAGTGAATTGAATTCTTTCTGTGGTGCTTTTTTTTTTTTTTTTTTTAGTTTTTTTTTTTTTTTTTTAAGATCAAAGTGTCCGTGTCCTCTGGAGGCAATTGTATTCGCACATACAGACCAGAAATAAAGAAGGGAACTTACAACACYGTCGTTCTCAATGTGAAGACTGTAGTTGCTGACAATCTGCTTTTTTACCTTGGAAGTGCCAAGTTTGTGAGTCTGTCTCCTGCTTTTCATGTCAGAGTTGCTCGATCAAATCAGCCTACTGACAAATACAGATGAGAAAGGCGTTTTTTTCCGCCCAGAGTCTTCAAAGCAGTTGTAGAGGGTCTAAGATAATCTAAACATTTACAGTCTTTGGGATTTATATAGAGATTTCTAAAATATGACCATCACATTTTTTACATAAATCTTTATTTTAACCAGATATGAAATAACACGCTTGTACATGAACTACTTTAGAGCTTTAAAATTCACAGTGCAACCGAGTAATTTTGGAGTTGGTTGTGGGTTTTCCCTTGGGAATGAAGTAGCTAATCATATTGCATCTGTCAAAGCTCCTATTTATTGTAATTTTAAGTCAAGACTACAATTTCAAGCATAATAATGGTGAATGATTCAGTTTCCCATGAGGCCTGTAGCAGACAGTCTTCTAGAATAACCAATAATAATTCACTAAATGGGAAAAGTATTCTATTTCCAACATTTTGAACTATGTATTTTATTTACCTAATACAAAATGAAAAGGCTAGGTGGCATCAGGTATCTCAACATCATTCTGCCATCCAATGGATGTTTCACAGTGTTCCACTGAGTTAAATCCTTCTATGGATGGCTGCAGTATTAACATTTCTGTAAGCCTGGCAGTCATTTATGGCATATCATTGAGAGAAATAATTTTCTGTCTTTGGCTTAGATTCTTTGTTTGAGTCAATAAAAACAGGAAAAAGGGAGTCTCATTTTAAAGCAATGTGAGAATTAATGTTAATACTCTACTGTCTACGTGTGGGTTTCTGATGCTTCATTAGGCCTTCTGAAATGTGAAAAATTCTGGAAAGCTTACTCAATTAAAGTATGAAATAGCTTCTATTTCCATATTTTGCATGTAGACTGACTTCTTGGCCATAGAGATGCGCAAGGGCAAGGTGAGCTTCCTGTGGGATGTGGGATCTGGAGTTGGACGGGTGGAGTATCCAGATCTGACCATTGATGATGGGTTTTGGTACCGGATTGAAGCCTCTAGGTAAGTATRTATTGCACTTCCAAGATTTTAGAAAAAAATTACTAAGATGAGAAATTCTAGTCTGATTTAACAAAAGCTTTTGAACCTGCATCCATTAGTACCAGAAGTCTATACACTACAATTACTATTGAAATGTCAATTGTTCTGTGTCAAGAATTTACTTTAATCACATATTCCCCTCTAGCATCAACAGTCTCTCACTGCTTATATTTATTCCTTTTTGTTTATCTATCACTCTATCTATTGTCTTCTTGTCTTTTAAAATCAGTTACAGGTTTTGGCATCGAATAACTGCCATTCTTTTCTCCTTGAATTTTAAAGAGGAGCAGCTTTTCTGAATTTCTGGTTTTGATACAGAACTGCAAATGAATGGTCTGTCACACAGTAGTATCTTGATTTTTACTCAGAATGCCATTTCCATAGGCAAAATGTCTCATCAAACTGGAAATATTAATAAAATATACAGTTTATGAAAATTGAAGGAGGAGATATTCTGGAAAGTTAAAATATATTTTGCAATTTGAGATCAGCTGTGTAATGTTTTTGAACTTTAGAAATACAGGTATATAAATATTCAAATCCCAAATTTGTTAGTTGAAGCTTGTATTTTCCATTCAAATAGCAAACACATGGCATATGGCCTAGTAATCACAGCATAAGGATTGCATACACAACTTTAGAGCCTTTGTCTTGAATAAATCTTAGTAATTTAGATAACATCAGCTGTACTGTAATTTGGTAGAAAGCTGAGTAATTTCTCTTGCATCATTACAGTTAATTTCACATAGTATTAAACATAGAATGGAAAATATASTCAGAGAATGAGAGAATGAAGTAGGAAGAAAACAAAGCACTCTCATTCTGGTTACATGCATAGCTCCCAGAGGAGGAAATGGCATCCAGTTTAAATAATTTAGTGAAATCACAGAAATCAGCCATTCAGAGCAGAGAATTAAATAAAGTTATGGCAGGGTCTCCAGAAGCTGGCTTAATGAAACCTCACTGCTAGGAAAGTACAAACTGGGGTACAAAACAAATTGTTTAAATCTTTTCCAGTTCATATTATGCATACCAAAGCAGCTTCATGACACAGTAATGCCAGWCTTTCATTTACAGGAAAGCTGTTTCAGCAGAATACGGAGCCAGGACATGGTATAAAATTCACACATCCTACAAAAGCCCATTACCTATTAGCTGGTTGTTCTGGATATATAGGATGTGCATGCCATTAGTTTCTAACAGAGTGCTGGATCAGCAATTTAGAATGATTACAGCTGCACAAATCAGAAGTACAGAGCAGTGTTTAGGAGAATTACATTGCAGAGGCRTTAGTTGGATTTGTGGGATTAAGAGGAAGAGCTTGGGACTGATTTTGCATTCTTAAGGCAGACTTCACAAATCACATACCCTACAGAAGAGTCTTCAACTCTGAACATTTTAGTCCATTTGATAACTCCCCTCTAACTCCCTTCATAAGCTGTTGGAGAGTTTTACTCGTTTCATTTCCTCACACATTTTCTCCAAATTTCTGCTCAGTTCCAGCCACAGACATTTTCAGCCTGACAGAGCTGCCTGAGTAGCTGGAGCAGAGCATGTGCTTAGCATGTGGACRTAGGATGAAACTCTGGTCTTGCTGAATTTTGCCATTGTTTTAGTGGTGACAAGGATTGACTATAATAATGATATGGTGTTAAATCCACCATAGGTTGATGGTCATTCTTAATCAAGGATCCCAAAGGGCCTTAAAAAGATATTGTGGCATAGAGGTTGGAAAATTCTCAAGTTCACTCAGCATTCTGAATGAAATCTAAATATGAAAATCTGACCATTGASTAATGACCAGAGATGGTCAGTTGATGCATGCACCAACATTTTCATTTAGTTTGACTGAATTGGTAATTATTGCATCACTTTTCCAGGGACACTTAATTTTCATCACCTTTTTTATTTAAAGCATACTGAACCTTTCATTTTATTTTATATTCAGAGGTTATAATGGAAATACTTTGAATTATTTTAATGGAATTTTACTTCATTTTTTTCCTATAAGATTTTTCTAAAGGAATTCCTTATACTTTGGTGTAACAGGAGTTTAGCAAATGCACTTACAAGTTACTTACCTGCTTACAGAAGCAAATCTAATTGGCATCAAGAACTGCAGTCAATCCAAGTATCAATTAACAAAGGAAAACCTGGCMTAATAGTATGTGACAAAACTATTTAAAGCAGATTTACAACACACAAATAATGTCAATTTCGTGAGACAGTCAAATGGATGAGAGAATATTTTTGAGACTCACTAGACCAGTGTTACTTGACTTCAGCAGGCCTCAGTTAGGAGCAGGACCTGATTAATTGTGATTTTAATGAACTGTGATTGAAATATTGCCATCGTTTTGATTGTTAATGACAGAGTTTAAGCACTGCCCTTCCTCTGAGGACTGCCTGAATCACAAGTCCATTGTAGACACATCCAGTTTAGCTCAGCAAGAATTCAGTCTTAAACTACTGTAGCACATACAAGCCATGCTTTTCAGTGAAGATTYTCTGAGCTTTCAAGGGGTCAAGGAACAGAGTTTACCACCTGGTGTTTTAAAATTTAATGCTGATGACTTGCACAAGTAATCTCATTTATATCATGCATCTCCTCAGGAGCAGACACTGTGTGGCATTACATAAACTTTTCATAGAATTTTATAATATGCTGAGTTGGAGGGGCTTCTCAGGATAGTCAAGCCCAGCTCCTGGCCCTACACAGGACACCCCTAGAAGTCACACCATGTACCTGAGAGCATTGTCCAAACATTTCTTGAACTCTGCCAGGCTTGGTGCTGTGACCGCTTCCCTGGGGAGCCTGTTCCAGGGCTCAATCATTCTCTGGATGGAAAGCTTTTTTCTGATACCAGTCCTGCCACTGATCACAGGAGTAAAGAGATCAGTACCTGCCCGTCCATTTCCCCTCATGAGGATCCTGAAGTCTGCAGTGAGGTTTCCCCACAGTCTCCTCCAGGCTGCCCAAACCAAGTGACCTCGGCCACTCCCCATAAGGCTTCCCTTCCAGACTCTTCACCATTCCTGCTTTGAACATGGYCCTCATTTGGACACTCTCTAATACTTTAAAGTCTTTCTTATATTGTGGCACCAAAACTGCCCTCAGCACTCTAAGTGAGGCTGTCCCAGGTCAGAACAGAGCAGGACAATCCCCTCCTTTGCCCGGCTGCCGATGCTGTGCCTGATGCCCCCCAGGACAGGGTTGCCCCTCCTGGCTGCCAGACACTGCTGGCTCATGTTCAACTTGCCATTGACCAGGACCTGCTGATCCCTTTCTGCAGGGCAGCTCCAGCTCATTCCTCAGTCTATACACACAACCAGGGTTGCTCCATCCCAGGTATGGAATCCAGCCCTTGCCTGTGTCAAATTTCATATGGTTGGTGATTGCCCACCTCTCTAGGTTGTCAAGGTCTCTCTACAGGGCCTCTCTGCCTTTGAGGGAGTCGACAGCTCTTCCAAATTTAGTGCCCTATCAGTGTCTTTTTGCATATCTGCCACAGAGTGCTGATATGTCTGTAATYCTCCAGTTTTACAGAAGTAACTATCACTAGAACAATATCTTCTAACCTGATGACTTGTCATGCACGGGATAGCAATGTCTTTTTGCTGTCAAGTTAGCCAAGATCTTCCTTCAATCTCCATTGTCCTCCCTTAATAAGAGAGAATTATTTATAGGAGAGACTCCATTGTTAGCATTTCAGTCTGTTTGAAGATTAAAGACATCTGTACTATTTGTGAATTATTAGACACCCTAAAAAGTGTCAGTCTGCTCAGTGACTTTTGCATTATTGTACTTGTGTGTTTTTAAACTGTAATCCCGATTTCAGCACAATATATACTGAAAGTGCCAATAACTTTCTTTCAGAAAGCATCAGATTTCAGCACTTTAAAAAGAGTTTTTAGTGACTTTTAGTCTTTYAAGAACTATTACATTGAAAACTTTCATCCCTTAAAGGGCTTTACATTGGTAAACCTTCTACTATAAATCAGTTGCACCTTAGACCCACACAAGTCCATGGGAATGGGATTCATCCAAGACAACTGAGGGAGCCACTTTCAATCGTTTGCCAGCAGTCCTGTGTTGATTCTGGTGTGTGTGGGATGAAACASTCGTTTATGATGTGATTATAAAATTATTAATAGTTTACTTCCGTTAAGTAAGTAATAACCTTGCTATGGAGAGCTACTATCCATACTGCTGTAAGCTCAATTAATATTAAGCAATTTATTTTAAAGGGTTCAAATTATTCAAGTTTCCTTTGATATACCTTTCTRTATACCTGAAAGACTAGGAAGAATCATATCACTCCACTGTGTTCCTTCTGTTGTAAAAATATGTCAGCAAACTCTTTCCATGCCGGTTGCTACATTAATATAACCAAGGGAATAGAAAACAAACTGATGCAGAAACTGTCAGGCAAAGTCCACTGTTGTTGTTACCCTCAGTATCTGATGTGATTCATAGAGGACAATGAGGTAATATTCTTCAACATAATGGGGTTTTTGCCTGTTTGAAAAGCAACCTTACAATTCCACTGCAGGAAATGCAAATTCTGTGCCTCAGTGAAAGAAACTGAAGTACTTTATCACTTCATTTCAGTTCAAATATAATCTTATAAACATTCTTTGCTTTAGTCAATGCAAGGTCCACATCATGTATATAGTGAATTTTGTTTTAAAAAGACATTCAGGTGAGGAGCAAATCTCATTCTGTGATCATGTCTTTAACTTATGCTGGCATAAGTGTTTGTTCATTTGTACCAAAGTAAAGCATCATCAGGTCACTCATGTACTTCTGTTAAAAGGTACCATATAAAATAGAGTTTTCCTATGTTTGGTGTAGTTACTGACTTTTTATGCTTAAATTMTTTTTTAAAAATCTCTAGGACTGGAAAAAATGGCACAATATCGGTGCGAGCTCTGGATGGTCCTAAAGCCAGCATCGTGCCAGCCATATTCAGGGCTGTCTCCCCACCTGGATATACCATTCTGGATGTAGATGTTAATGCTGTGCTGTTTGTTGGTGGTTTAACTGAAAAAATTAAGGTAATGCTTTGTCCAGTTTTTCTGTGTTAGCTGACTGTTTGTATGGGCAAATTTTGTTATTGCTTAATATAGGAACAGTCAGTTTTTATATTCTGGTGTCATTGTAGTAGGTGCTTTAATTGCAAGTAGTACACCTGCACTTTTGACAGATTATTGGGATTTGCTTCTGTGAGGAGCACAGATGTGAGATTTCACTAGGCATGATGCTGCCCTCTCATCAGAAGCCCTGTAGCTGGCTGTATTGATGCAGCRTTTAGCCCAAACAGCTAATTCCTGCTGGACAGAGGGATGCTTTGCCTTGGACACACTGCTGCCCTGACGAGCTTCCAGTTCCTGAGTGACAGGAACTCATTTCTGTTTCCCTACATTTCTGCTCTCCTAGTAATGTATATAACATACATTCTCCTTTGCATTTGAGGTTTTTCCTTTGTCATGTAACCACAGTATCACTTCCTCCTTTGCAGTCTGCTTTTGGTGTTTCTGCTTTATTTTCTTCATTTTTGTTCCAGTTTCCTCCCCTGTACTACCCATCTTTTTAATTGCTATCTACATCATAGCCCTGATCTCTTTTCTCTTCTTTTTGTCTGTTCATTTTTCTGGTGACTTCTTCTGCCATGCTAAATATCATGAGATTAATAGAATATTTCTACCAAATACAATAGATGGAAATCTGTTTTTAAAATGTTCTCCAATATAAGTTAATTAGCACTTATTTTCCAATTCTTTACAAAACAATTTAAAATAAGTATTTTGTTCCTGATCAGGATTTTAGCATTTGAAAAGAAGCTAAAATTTAGACCTTTCCAAATAGTGAACTCAYTGAACCTCTTTTACTCTAAAGATTGCATATGTCCTCAAGTGTTAAACAATATGCAAAAAAATGGAAGTGTAAAACTCTGATGCCAGAACAGCTCCTTTCAACCTCAGTAAGAGTTSTCCAAATATAATCTGAAGAACTCTSTATTTTTTTTTGTCTTAGCCAGGAAAATCTTCCTGAATTCTTTTTTTCTCCAGGTAGGTAAAGGCAAGGGCAGCAATAGGAAGGGAGTGTGTTGTAAATTTGRTAGGGCTGGTATATTCGCAATTTACAATTTTAAACACTGTCAGATTTGTTTTGTTCAAATACAATCTCTGAATTAAAATATAACTTCAGTTAATTTCTGTCATCATGTGGTACAGTTGTAAGGTTCTCGAAATGAAGACCTTAATGAAGACTTTTCTAAAACTATGCAGCTCTTTGGACATTTAATGAAGATGACTAATATATCTTCAGTCTTTGAGAAATCTGCTTTTTCATATTATTGGGGTTTGGAGTGCTTTAGATTTGTCCTACGATATTGTCCTTATCCCTTTCTACATCCATCTCTGTAGGGTATTCAAAAAGAAAGTTCATTTTCACTTTTTAAAAACATCTTTCATCTTGCTTGTCGACTATGATACTTAGATGTCATGAATTTCTTAGAAGTGACATTAAGTTCATCCTTGTTGCTAATTAAAACCTTTCCAATTACTCTGGGAAATATCAGTATCACATTAAGTCTTTTGAGTCATACTTTTCCTTGAGTATTTTCAAATTACACTTCTCCATATTCTCTTGCAAGATCTTAATATTTGTAATTGCTGTAAAAACAGCAGGTGTTTGTCTATCTCAAATAGCTAAGTATATAGATTTTTAATCAGCTCATATTGATGAACTGAAATTTAAATGAATCACGGTATTTTTAGAAGAATAATTTTGAGCTGAGTACTCTATGTACTGTGAATTATTACCACCTTCATCATGGTACCATGTTATGATCTAAGGAGCATTACTCTATGTGCATGACCCTRGCTTAATGAGTTTTGATGGGACATGTGTTTTAATTGCCTTGCCATCTGCACTTCTTTCTGCATTCAAAATTCAGCATGAGCTGTACAGGTGTAACACTTGGGTTCTCAGTCTTTTGGCTTGGACAGTCTGCTCAGTTTCCAGGATTTTGAGCATTACAAGAGAAACACTTTGCATATTGTGTTGTGGACAAGATGGCTCATAGTCCTTTCTAGAAAGTGTTAAATGAAAACACAGCTAGGCCTTGGGCAGTTGAGAGCAGGCAGCTCTCTGAGCAGACAGAAAAACTGACCGTGAAACCAGAGCAGCTCCTTCTTCTTCAGGACTTGTTCTGCCTAAGCCTTCCCAATTGACACAAAGCTTAGATCACATTATCACTGATCAATTGTTCTATAGGAAGGCTTGTCATATCTAAAATATTAAAAAGCATCTTATGGTGGGTTTTGAAATTATTTTATATGGTACTATATATGGCATTTATTTTTATTATTTTTGTAACAGTTATATTTTCAGATGCAGTAGATCACKTTTAATCCAATTCTAAGGAAGTTTGTGTTTCCTGTTGCAGAAGTCAGATGCTGTAAGAGTCACCACCTTCACTGGCTGCATGGGTGAAACCTTTCTAGACAGCAAACCCATAGGACTCTGGAATTTCAGGGATATTGAAGGCGACTGCAAAGGGTGTGCCGTCAGGTAGGTAAAGAGCTGACTGTTCCTTGTACTTCTTTAGGGAATGACATGATATTCAGCAGATACAGCAGGAATTTCCCCAGTAACCATCAAGTTCCAGTGCGAATGCAGCAGAAGTTACGCTGCAATTACACCAAGAGAGGACACAGCTGGTCTGGGTTGTAAATGGGGTCAGAGCATTATCAGAATTGAGATGGTGCAATAGGGATGTGCTAAAAGGGCTCCTGACAGCCACTAACCAGAAACAGTCAGAGCATGAGAACCACAGTGGGACTGGGTGTGGCTCATGAGCAGCTGGGRTGTGGGTGCCTGCATTTCTTACATGGCAAGGAGCAGAGTCCTGTGCCTCAAGGTGGCTTTCACAGCCACCAGGGTAGTGAGCTGAGACCCCACAAGAAGAAAGTTTTCACATTGTTGAAATAGAATGGGAAATCCTGTCCCTGTCAGTGGGAGGTTTGATAAGCAAACCAAGTTCAGGAAGACTCCCAGGAGGTGACCCCACACTTCCTTAGCCCTGCACTTTTTTCTTATAACTTCACATGGGAAAGGATAATGGTTGGAATTGTCCCTTTTCAGCCCACAGGTGGCAGACAGTGAAGGGACAGTGCAGTTTGATGGTGACAGCTATGCCATGGTGAGCCGCCCAATCCGCTGGAACCCCAAYATTTCCACAGTCATGTTCAAGTTCAGAACCTTCTCCTCAAATGCCCTGCTGATGTATCTTGCTACTGATGATTTGGTAAGAACAGCCAGCTAACTCTATGCTCCTTGCAGGTTTCATGCCATCTTTGCAGTGAATTAATTCATCAGAACATGAAAACAACTTGTATTTTTTGTGTACCACAGTCCTGGTGTGATGTTACATGGTGTGATGCTTTACTGCTGGCCAAGCAAAGACAGTGTGCAGTGTGGAGGTTGACTACCTTATGTTTAATGAATGGGGATCATTATGTTAGTCTGGGGAGAATTCCAGCTTTTCTGAAATTATTAGCTAATTTTCCTTTATCCCAAATGTTCATTTGTGTTGACATTTTAAGTTGTGTTTGTCTATGAGATGAGTCTTATGTAGATATCCCACTAATAAAAAGAAAATGCTTATGTTTTATGTGAGTAGGATAATTCATATGCAATGAATGAAATATAATAGTGATCATGTTTTTCCAAGATCTGCAAATGGTTCCTCCTACAGCTAAGAGAATAGAAACATTAGTTTAAAGTTGTTCAAGGTTTTCATTCACACATTGTATCAAATGTGTGTGAAGAGAAGGCAGAAATTTTTTATAAAGACACCTGTCCAAATCTGAATAACTCATCTTCAGCATCTCTGATCCAGATTAATTTGCATGACTGACAGGGAGCAGAGTCCTTCCCTTAGCTTCTTCATATGGACCATAAATTATGGACAGTAGTTTTCAATGATGTCTTGAAGAATTACTGAGCACCCACTATTTTTTAAAAAATGTGTTTGTATAAATCAGTCTTATTTCAGATTCCTGTATTTTGAAAAGAATTATCAAAATAGCTGGAATTATCAAGGAGAAGGGTGCTCCTTCTGACTAACTATAGCAAAAGCTAGAATTTTATTATGATAATGAAGTAGTTATGTAGTTTTTTAATGAACTTTTATAATTGAATATTTTAAGTATAATTAATGTAATTATTTTAGATTTTGTATAATTATTATTAATCTATGTATTTTTCTACAAAAAATTATTTATTTGAATTCTGAAAAACATAGGCAACTGATCCCTGATATATTTTAGGCAACTGATCCATGATATATTTTGTCTCTTATGATACTGTCCCAGTCCCAGATTGCCATCATTACTATTTTTGTTTTCTACCTTGTAAGTTTAAGTCTAGCTRAGGTATGTAATAAATACACTAGCTATAGTACAAACATATACTCAAAACTGAGTATTAGTTTCAGGTAATTATTATCTATTTTTATCTTCAATCTAAGAAAATAAAAGTACAGCTATGTCATCAAAACTCCAGCTAAAATGCTAGCAAAATTACAACTAAATTAGCAATCCAGAAGAGAATAAAAAGGAAAAAAAAAACTTGGCTTCAGACTTTGTACATGAGGGTCCTGAGTTGTAAATGCATAAGTTGTAGGGGTTTTTTTAAAGCTTAAAAAAAAWTTTGTTTTCCCCCATAATTAGAAAGTGTTTATTTAATGTCTTATGCCACTTGCCAAAATGAACAAGAATTGTAATAGTGTATCTAATCCTTTTCATTAACAGAAGGACTTCATGAGTGTAGAACTCAGTGGTGGACGAATAAAAGTCAGCTATGACCTGGGTTCAGGTACAGCTTCAGTTATCAGCAACCAAAATCATAATGATGGCAGATGGAAATCTTTCACCCTGTCAAGAATTCAAAAGCAAGGTAAGTTCCTGTGGTGTCAGCACTAGAGCTTTTCCAGTTACCTGTGCAATACAGCTAACCATCTAATCACAGAGATGATGCTATGGGAATTATAAGTTCTAGTGATCTAGCAGCTTCTTTTGTTTAGATTATGGATGTGTTGAGTTGCAGGTGAGCAGTTGCACTGTCAAACAGGCCTTTATGAACAGGTAGCGTATTTTTCAGGCATAATTCTTTTATAAGGTTGCATAAATTGCATTCTAAAATTCTTCTGAGTGGGGAAAAAAGAAGCCTTTTCATCAGTTCCCTGGTGTTGTTGCAACTCATGAAACACACTTCTGAGATTTTTGTTGGGACAGTGATAGCTTTCTTGCTGTACAATCCTCTCATGTTCAGCATATACCAAAGTGCTTAAAAAAAAGCAGTGACTTTAGTTCTGACAGTGCAGTATATCTCTAGACAAAAACGACTACTTTATCTTCCCTAATGATGTGTGCCRTGAACAGAATCTGCATGGAACATGTCCAGAAGTTCTACTAATTCTTTAACCTGTTACAGGCACAAAATGTAAAGTGGTGGCATCTGATAAGATCACAAAGAATGGTGGTTGTCATGCTACCCTTTTTGTATTTTGTAATCTGGTTATAGGGCTGGTAGGATCTTACCTGAGCCGAATTAATTTTATTTATGGTAATTGTGACATATTCTGTGCTTTTGCAGTTTGAATTTTTAYTGCATTCTGAATCTTCAGGGTCACCACAAGCCCCTAAACACATTCCTCTACCCCGTGCAGTGCCAGCTCTCTACCTGGCCCTCACACCTCATACACAGTCTCTCTCCCTTGTCATTTGGCTCAAGTAGGCTTGGGAGTTGGGACAGTGGCCAAAATAATTTAGAGATGCAGTTTTTCTGCACCTTTAGAGGAGGAATGCCTTACTCCTAGCCAGTCATTTTAGTTCATACTTAACCCAGGAGGTATTAAGATAAAATAAATTAATAAATAATAATAAAATAAATATAATAAATATAATAATAAAATAAATTAAATGTCATTTAATTGTAATTGTTCAATAGCATTCAAACATCATGTGTTTATAAAGAAAATACAGATATAGAAATGAAAGGGAAATTAATCTGGTTTTGATAAGGTGTAGCAGAAAGCCTGTCCTTATTCAATTCTCAAGGAAGGAAAGAAACCCTTCCTTTTCATCCCTATGGGTAGAACACCTCTTTCTATCTTAGGGCCTGCTCAGCATTTTCACTGAGTCTTATGTCTTTTATTGAACCTTATATTCTGTACTAATCCATATATTAAAAATATATATGGAACGAGCACCTAAATGTGATGGCTGTGTGTAGCACATCACTAATTCCAGACTGAGATGAGACATGACAGCAACTGACTGCTTTGGGTTTGAAAATGGTTTAGAGTGACTGATCACCRATCTCTAAGGCATGTAATGACAATGCTTAACAAACTTTTAYACTAAAAMACCCTGCTCAAGTGGCAATCTYTGGACTGAGATCACAAATTAAATGTAAAACGATCTCTTGTCATGACTTTGTGCTGATGTGTTAGCACCAGATTACAGGGACATAAAGAAGGCACCAAACTGAAACAGGTTTAGAGAATATATAAAAATAAAGCGAAATAAAGCCATAGCTTTTCAAGTTGTTATGGAAACAGAGGAAAGAGCAGCTTTCTTCCCCTGCCCATAACTGACAATGTGGAAATCCAGTATCTTAATTGCAAAATACAGCCCTCTTTGCTTCTTCCCTCACCTGCTAACCCTACAAGTATTTCTCTGTTGGATTCTTACATGAAGACATCATTGTTCATGAYTGATATTTTGTAACTAATCCCAAATGTCTTTTAGCCAACATATCGATTGTAGACATAGACACCAATGAAGAGGAGACCATAGCAACAACTTCTGCAGGCAGCCACTTTGGACTCAATTTAAAAGGGCATGAGAAAATATATTTTGGGGGATTGCCAACCCTGAGAAATCTAAGGTAAAGTGGCTCAAACCAATTTCTTTAATCTTGGTGAGGGGATGTAAATACAATGTAATTTTATTCTCTGCATTTATTTCTCAAGTTCACTTGCAGTAAGCAAATGGTGATTTCCAGTGTACCCTGTACTGCCACAGCAGAATAGTGCTTTACTTGCATATGTTACGTATTCACCTTACACAGATACAATGGAAATAACACTTGCAGTGCAGTGCATCTTTCTGATCCTCTGCAAGAGCCATGATGTAGCTGACTTTTTAAGTATTTATTTAGTTATTTATTTGATGTATAAAATTTGTGGCAGCAGATTCAGAGAACTGGCTCCATACCTCCACGAAATTAAGGACAAGTGTTTACTTTGTGCATGAGTAGAAAAATTGACCTACAAACTACACCTCATGGGATTACTGTTTCATGGGTATTTATGTTTTTGCATAATCGGTGTCAGTATACTTTAAATATGTATTAAAATAGTTTGCTTAGATGTAATTCAAAGTTATTTGTAGTTATTAGTTCTAGGTCTCCTTAGTTAAAATTCTTCCTGTATTGATAACTCAAAGTATATGATATGATACTCTTGATATATTTAATGTGAGTACAATGAAGTATGACAACCTTTTCCCTTCAGAAGTCTGATCCTGAATTTCTTACACAAATAAAATTCCCAGTAATTATTTGTTAAGTATTGCATAGTAATATTCATAAATGTAACTTCAGCTCAAACTGAAGAAACGGGCTAACAGATACTTGAGTTTAGTGACTTTATTACATGCCTTTAAATAGACCAAAAAACTTACTTGAAGTTTAAATGAATATTCAGCAGTTTTGCAATGACAAGAACAAGAGTATTCTGCGCCACAATGAACAGATGAGCAGCMCAGAAACAAGCCCATTAATCTATGTCAGCTTTAACTACATGGCGTAATGAGAGCCTTGAAGTGGTCTTGTGCACAAGGAGCTGTTGTGTTTAATCCACAGACTCTTCTGCAACTAAAAGAATGGACGTATTTGTTAATTTATTAGGATAATAATTGACCTTTGATGTCAAATCACCCAGCAGTGAAAGATCTAAGATCTATTTTACTCATGAAATATAACATTGATAACATTGTATTATGTAATTGTGAAATCACACCAGGGCATAACAAAATGTCCAGAGCAATTATCTTCCACTTCCTTTGTGGTTGCCCAGAAAATCAGTGTACCACATCTACTTTGACCTGTGGTAACCATTTTGCCTACAGCCACGATTCATCAGTGCCTGAGGCAAGATTAATGTTATGGTACATTAGAATCAAAAGTAGTGAAAGGGGGATTAGGGCAAAGCTGAGCTMCTGCAAACAATAGAGACTGAGGTATCCATGACTTTGTAATTACCAGGTCATGTCAGTTCTGCCACATTCTTTTACATGGTTTGCTTTTGCTCATGACCAAGTATAGTATCAAGTTACAAAAGCCCTCTGATGAATTATATTTTAAGGTAGCTGTTTGCAGAGTAAACCTGTTGTTATAACCTGATAGTGTACATAGAGTCTTCTCTGTATTATATGTTGTTTGTAAATGGTGGTTGAACCTCGCTAATAAGTACCACAGAACAATACAAGAAGCACCATTTGCTGTAATTAATGCAATTTTGTTGTTTTCTCTTTTTTGTCTTTCTTTCTCCCCCCAGTATGAAAGCAAGGTAAAAACAGATTATTTGCATGACTTGCATGTGTCTAGTAAGTGCAGCTTGAAAGCACGGGTGACACCGCAGCAGCARCAATGTTTAGAGCAGCTGCTACGCTCAGGCTCTTAGTTCAGCTTAGAATTCATCTTAGAGCTGCTCCTGCCACAGCTTAAAGCTGCTCCCAAGTGCTCACCACCAGCACACCACACTCTGTGCACACCTACATGAGCACCTTCTGTTTTCCTCACGCAGCTGCTTTACTTCAGCTGTGTTTTGCTTGTGACACCGGAACACCTCGGAGGCAGAGCTCCAGCCAGCTCTGGGGCTGACTTTGGCTCCAGCCTCAGGTTGTAAGAGCGGTGTAGTCCCATGTGAGGTGAGGAGTGCTGTGATTGGAGGCAGTGAAGGAGTTACTGAGGAGAGCATGAAAGCAAGGTGGAGATTTTTGTGAAATTTGCCACTTCTCATAAAAACAGGACAACGAGGGGAGAGAGTGGAGGTCACCTATTTATGACTGCATTTTCAGTTTGCAGCTCTTTGTATCCATTGCTTTTGCTTTGGTATGCTCAGATATGAACTGAACTTCACTTTGTTTTGCAGCCTTATTCCTGGCTTGAATTGGAAAAATACAACTTCATCCCCATTCCCCTGCCCTGATCCTCAGAAAGATGATTTCCTCCCAAGCTCCAGAAATTGCTGTTTGTTTTCCCTTAAAATTGGCCCTATCTTGGCAAAAATAAAAACCAACCAAAAAAACCAAAAAACAAAGAATAATGCAAGATCTTAGTGAATTTGGGCATTGTTTGGAATCTTTTGGAAGGGAAAAAGGGAAAAAAGAACTCTTAAGAAAACATTAAGAAAGTGTTCAGTGGTTGCAAAGAGGTTGAGCCAGATGACCCAYGSTGGTCYCTTCCAGCCTTGCCCATTCTGTGATTCTGTGATATGGGTTGGGAACTGCAAGGTAACAGCAGCTTCTTGCAGCAGGACAGGATGAGGACAGTCTGACACTGGACAAGGCAGGAAAGGATTGGAGCAGGAATGGTTTCTAGATGGCAAACATGTCTAGACATGTGGGCACCACTGACAATGATAACAGCAAAACTGTTTTTTCACTGGGAAGATAAGTCCGTAAAGGAACCAGAGAAGAGCTAGGAAAAATTAAAAAAGAAAAATGAAAGGTGACCAAAGCTACTTGACTGCAAATAAAGCAGCATATGGATCATTTTAGTACACCAGATGCTTGCTTTAACTTATGCAGAGGGTACTAATTTGCCATCACGCTTGCTAGGTTGGCTATAATGCAAAGAATGGCTTTCAGTGCCAAAACATGCAGCTGATTAGTATCTGTGTAAAATGGTTTTATTTTGTAATTAATATTCTTTAAYATTTTTTGTTTCCTTYCAGGGAACTGAAGTGTTTGTTCCTTCCCCRCTTCCCCACCCCATCTCAGTTTTAACTCCTTATTTATTTCCAAAGTTAATTTTTCTCTCTTTCAGCTATTCATACTATTCAGATATTCTAGTAAACGCTTATGGGTAATATTTTTTGTGAATTAAATAGTGCTTTTTTTGCTGTTGARATTTACTCTCCATGGTATGAGTGGCAGCTTTTTTTCTGAAGTGACCTTATAAGGCTTTTCTTCTGTCAAGCCTGGTTCAAGTGTTACCAGCAGTTATGGTCTCACTCTGGTGTTCCCAGGCCTGGGAAATCATACTTTTGTTAGCAAGYATGATAGCTTTGGTGTTATTTTCACGGGGTGTTTCATTTCTTTTCATYTGCCAGCTAATGAGTCAAACATGGGACTTGAATTCCATTACAATATTTTCCAGTCTTGGGTGGGCATTCTGTAACAAACCCAAGTGCTTTGTTTGTTTAACTGCCTGAAAAAGTCGGATGTATTGCTGTGTCCTAAGAAAATATTTTTCTTAGCAGCAGTTTTCATAAGAAAGATACTCAAAATATAAAATAAATGTCAGACCCCCTGATTGCATTCCCAAAGTGTATTGGTAAAAACTTTATTCAAAATCTTCAAAATGCTGATAAAGTTCCTCTTTCATTGTCTCTATCATACAAAAAAGAGGAAAGAAAAATGTCTGCCAATTAAGGTCTCTCCTCACTGTTATGATTTCCTAGGTTGCATCTTTCTGCTTTGCCTAAGGAACAATAATTTCCTTATTTCATAGCTCACTGCATTTTAACACCAAAGGTGATAGCACTCCTTTACTTAAGGAAAAACACCAAAAAAAAACCCCAAAAACAAAACAAACAACCAAAAAATATTGAGAAATGAAAAAAAAAAATGAGAAGGGGACTGGTGTCAGTTGGACATGAGATGAACCTCCTTTTACACCTTTGAGTGATGCAAGACAGAGTGCAATGTGTGCTGATAGATGGTAGAAGGCAACATGAATTCATTTCAGTGTATGTGTGTAGTTAAAATAAAAATAAAAATCAAGCATCTGTGCATCTGAAAGTGTATGTATGTGTGTGTGTCTGGCCGACTGTTCTCCCTAAACTCTATCTTTGAAAGCACATTGTACTTCTAAATGTTTTTTTCAGGCCTGAAGTGAACTTAGAGAAATACACAGGTTGCCTCAAAGACATTGAAATATCGAGGACACCTTATAACATATTGAGTAGTCCTGACTTTGTTGGTCTAACCAAAGGATGCACACTAGAGGTTAGTCCAATTTCCATGTATTTTGGCATTAATTTATATCAATGTATAKCAAAACTTTCTGTTTTCTGATTTTATGGCATAATAGATTAATTGTATATAGTCTATTCCTTAGACAGGAATCTACTCTTAAAATCCAAACAATTACATTTAAAGGAAAGACAGATGAACAATTCTAATCAGCAAGTAGACCTGTTTCTGAGACCCTAACTTCTTGCACAGTATCCCTGGCCACTTGTGATATCCTTATCCCTAAAGGGTAGGATTTTCTGAACTGCTTAGCAGTGATTTAGCTTTGTTTCAACTGATTAAAATTGGAATTACTGACATTAATGAGGATAGGCACTGACAACATTGCAAAAACTAAAAAAATTGATAGACATAAACCCCAAGGATTTAAATTATTTTTTAATTGTTATTATAAAAGTCATTTGCTACATAAAACCTCAGGTTTTATGACTTACTGTCATGAGCTACCACTGAGCTGGAAGACATACTTCTTACCAGTCACTCAGAATGTGCAAAATTGGTGTTGTTATTTTAGCTTTAAATGCAACTCAGGCCTGTTTATTTTCAATTATTTCTACTTGCAATTAACAACCTTTCAGTGCATATAGAATTCAAGGAATCTGACCTGAAATTTTGGAGAGAATGTAGTAATTTTCCATGGGAAAAAAAAAATCTGCGTATATAAAAAAATACTTCCAGTGACCTCTATCTCCCAATAAAGAGTTTGTATTTCTTCCCTTGAAATCTGTACTATCTAAGATAGTTTTACAAGCAGATAGAAGATCTAGTGTTCCATGTCAGATACCACTACAGTAAATCCAAATTATTTTTGTTAACCTGATGCTCTCCAAATATTTTTTTTACTACAAAACATCAAAAATTTACTTTGAACAGTAAGTGGAACTTGGCCAGACCACAATAAAGACAAGGGCCCTATTTTGCTGTGTTTGTCTTCTGTACCTCTGTTTTCATCAGAGCAAAAAGTATGAAACAGTAGAACTCAGGATATTAGACTAGATCTGTTATGAGATCCATATTTTAAGATTTCCAGTTTGTGGTAAAGCTAAACCATAAACAAGCAGATTGCTCAAATGCTCTTAAATCTTACAGATTTGGTTTCAGCAAAAATTTGATAGAGAGGTTCATATTTGTTTTGATTTATAGGAGATTCTTTCAGGAACAGGAAAGAAGGATAGTTGTGTTCATTTTCTTCTATTGCTATGAATCTTAGAARGTACTTTGCTTTTCACATTATTTTTTAACACTTGAGGTCTCAGAGTATGAAATCTAATTGGATTAACCCTTTTGTTGGGGAAATAAATAAAAAATTCTAGTTGTACAAAACAATATATGTAGAAAAATTAAAAAGAATTGAAGCAAAAGTAAAYGATAAAGACTGGATATGTGTTCAATTATTTAAATGCCCTCAGATTTCAAAGAAAGGTGAGCACCACCAGCAGTGATTTTATCTGGCATAACAWTTTATATCTAGACCTTAAAACAATTCTACCATACTGAAAAAATGGTGCATTGCTTTAGAAAAAGTCTGTGTTTCTATAGACTGGTCTTCCACATCTGGAAGAATACACAGGTTGGCAGTGAGAATAGAAAATCTTTGGGAGTATGCACTGATTTATTATTTGATGACATATTCTACTTYTAAATTGTGTTAATGACTACCAATATCCAAAGAGTTGGGCCAAGTGCAACAAGTGYTTCATTTATGACTCTGAGTAACCAAGAAAGCCATGGTGCTTAGTGAAGCAGTAGTGACTTGATTAATGAAAAGTATTTTCTCAGCACATTTGATGAATAATAAATTCTAGTTTGCATTCATATTGGTTGTTGTTACCCATTGTATGTATAGGTTTAAAATCAAAATCCAGCTATAGTAACTAAATGGAAAACATTTATATAAAAGAAAACCAACCTTGAGCAGTTTTTTTTTTAATCTAAGAGGATATATCGACATAGAGCTGTAACTTTGCTTCCTGTAGGACAGGGTTCCACAAATACACTAATGATAACAGATGTAAATGGGTAAGTTAGTGTTTGCAGAACACTTTAAGGAGTAAATTGCTAAGTGTTCATTATTTTTTTCCATCTTTTCACACTAGTTGTATTTACATAGTTTATTTTAGTTCAGGAATCTTCCCGTGCGTTCATTCTCTTGTTTTTATTTTTACTTTTCCGTCCTCTTCTTCCTACAGAACATTCATACAGTTAGCTTCTCCAAGCCAGGTTTTGTGGAACTGCAACCTGTCTCCTTTGATGTGGGCACAGAAATCAACCTCTCCTTCAGCACCAGGAATGAGTCYGGGATCATCTTGTTTGGCACAAGTGGCACAATTGTCCCCCCCAGGAGAAAGCGCAGGCACTCTGCAAGGAAAGCTTCCCCTCTGAGGAGAAAGCGCAGGCAGACAGGACAGGTATGAGGAACCTGGCAAAAGATTAAGAAAACCCACAGTTTTACTGATCTTCCACTGTTTGTTTCAAGACACTGTCAGATATTAAAATTCTATAATTGGGAATAAATTATTTCTAATGTTACCCTTTATCTGGTGAAGAATCTACTAGAAGCTCAGAATTGGGGTTTTTTGCCTTGGAGAAATTGTTTCTCTTACAGATTTACAGTAAGACATCCATTGCTTGTTGCTAAGCAGCAGATTTGGTTTTTTTTGTTATATTCTGTGTTGGGTTTTTTAACCAAACCTAAATATKAGAGAATACTGTTCATCACTCATTTTGAGGACTACTTATGCACTATTAGTGCTTGGAAACTCCCTCATTCCTGTTCATAGAGACATAAATGAGGATCRTTCTAATTTCCCTAAGACCAAAAGAATAAAAAAAAACTGGTGAACACAGTGTAAGATAAGCCCCTTGTTTGGGATCACTGCTGTGGAATTTAAGACTTGAGTGCTCTGGYTTCTCCTTCTCTCTCATAAAATACAAATTCGCTGTAAGGGTCTGCAGTGCCTGAGTGGTAAAAGTGTGATTGCTGTTAGAAATTATTCAAGTCTTGATTAAATCTTGATTAAAGTCCTGCCAGACACACTACAACAGCAATAAACAGAATGTTTTGATGCATTCTTTGTTCAGGACTTCTGGGAAATGATATTTCATTATTATCCTTTCTGCCTCTTTTGGAAGAGAGCTCTCAGTGCCCTGGAGTAACACGCACCAGGGACTGCACATTGTAATGGCTCACCTACGTGACATTAACTTTAGGATAGGGGCTTCTTTATCATTTCCCAGCTCTTCAGGTCACAGAAGTGAACATGACCACTTATTGCTATAGTAACTGGAGTTTAGATCCTGAAATCTGCCACAATATGATATTGGTGCTGGAGTAACTACTGGCATTATTTGCCAGCCTTCCAAACAAAGAACTCAAGCCAAAATCAGTGCACTCCAGGGCCTGATAAGAGCAGGTCTCGTAATAATATAAATCAGAAGAATAGTTGGTCAGAAGTCTCCATCCTTCCCTGAAAATAGATAGAGAGTTAAAACATTTTGTTGATGTTCTCCAGCATGACCTCATTTTACCCCTTTCTCGTTATAAAAATGCCAGAATCTGAGTGTAGCAGCAGCAGCAGAACTCAAACAGYGGTGTCTTGTCTGTGGTGASCAAATTGAAAGCCAGTGTAAGACAATAAAATGAGACACTAATATAAAACTAAGTGAAATAATTTCTTTCCAAATGTAACTTAACTTTTTACACCAACATGTACCTTGCAGGCCTACTATGCTGTGTTCCTGAACAGAGGTCGGCTGGAGGTGCATCTCTCCACTGGGATGCGGGATCCCCACAGGATCACCATCAGACCAGAGGCTGGCGAGTTTCAYGACGGCAGAGCACATTCCATCAGGATAGAACGAGCTAGAGGGTAACAAATACCTGTGCTACAGACCACACAGTACAGCTAATCCAACCAAGCAAATGTATTGATGGCTCTGGCAATCCGTGTAAATGCTTCTGCTGAGACAAAAAGAATTTAGTGTAATTCCGTCATTACCCAGAAATTCTTAGAAATAAGTTTCTGACAGTAGTTTTTCTGAAGGGCTGGGTTTACATGCTTACTTAGGCTGTCAGCCTGTTTCTCCAGAGACCTACATTTGTCTGAACTGGCATCTTTCACTTTCTGATTCCTGGCAAATGTATTTTATTAAAGAATCTGTGGATGAGGAATTCTACTGAGGTGCAGTAAATCACCTTTTCAGGACATKTAGAAAAACACCTTTTCAAAGGAYRTAAACTGCAACAGCRCAGCAGCTTGTAGCCTTTTCAAGATGCCACGTGCTGGGCACAGTGGTGCCCAGCTAAATATCATAAAACTGAAAATACACAGTCCTACTTGGACTGGAAAAGCCCTTGCAGACCTGAGCATGTTGTTTGGCACTGAATCTCACTTGAATTTGTTTGTCCTTTCTCAGACATAGAAAAAACTTTTTATTACACTTCCCCATTCAGAAGATTATTACAAACAGCACTGCTGTAGTGTGTAGGACTCAGGCTGGCAGTGTTATTAGCTCTTGTTCCAAGCAGGGTTTATTACAGACATTTGAACATACAAATGAGTACATCCCATACAGACATTCATTGGATTGGTGCACTATGCACAATGTTCTGTGCACTCTTTGTTAAAAGAAATCAGGAAGATGTGACATCCAGCGTGTTACAAAAGGCACTTACCCACTTCACCTCTTACCCCCAAAGCACTGCAGCTTTCTTGACCAACCATTTCTGTCTAGTCCCGAGATGCCCTTCTGTCCTCTCTGTAATTTGCTTTCCTTTCTGTATAATTTTCTGGCTGAATTTCTATTATATTGTTAAAAAAGCTCTTGTTAATAATGCCTCTAGTCAATAAGTCTCCTCTACTTTGGTGACTAGATCAAAGACAAACCGTGAATGCTTTGGAAGAAAAAGTTATTTTGGAAATGGATGAGTGCATTTTGTAATAYGTTTTGTGTCACTGTTACAGAACACAGATATGCAGATGATAATAAAAAGCTTAAACAACAAAGTAAGTTCTTTTATGCAGTGCTGTAGCGAGTACAGTAGCTTGACCCTATGAGGATACATGTGAGAGTACATCAAGGCAAAATTGCTTTACAATGCCATCCAGTGATGATGCTTGYTCAGATGAGACCTCTGTGTTTTCAAAATAGCTTTGTTGCAAAATGAATTGCCTGAACTCTGAAGTTTCAGTAACCTGAAATGGATGTCAAAAGACATAACTTAAGGTTAACCCTTTGATGTCTATTACTCTGGYCCTAGAATTATGAGCCAGACACAGTTAAGGGCATAAAAAAGGGGTTATCTSTTTYAWTAAGGATCCTTAGGTGCACAATTTGTCAAGGTGGAAAATGCCRAAGATGCACACRACATRTGATATRTATAYAATTTTTATAGACTTTGCAAATCAGYGTATCTGGCAAAAATTCCCCAAGGAGAAGCTTAATAGATGAAATAATGTTCCYCCAGTTCTGGTTCTTTCTGGATTCCCCCCCTCAGATGAGGCTTGAACCCTGTTTACAAAAATATGTCTCRARGAGCTGGTTTCAACCTTGGTTTCTATGGAGAACTAAGATAGCAGAGGGGCTTCAGGCYCTCAGCTGGGAGGCTTTCAGAATGTTTTGTCTTTCTGCMTGGAAAAATACCGGAACTTAGTTACAACARTGGGCTATAAAAGCTACAAATATTTGTGCTAAAGATACAGAAAATATGAAAGGCATATATAGAAAAAGGAAAAAAATCAACATGACATCACCTTCCTCTGCTCATCATGAACTCAAGCTTTATTTTTTCCAATGTGAGGAACATTCTGTGAAAACTCTGCAGAGAGATGATTTTCCMTAAAATTAAGAAATACAGTCCTGTTGAAGACTAATGTACATCATTGCTTGGTTCTGCTTGGACCCCAAAATGTTTACCGTGGTTAGCCATGGCTAAGATTCAGCAGCACAAAGGATGACTCAAGTCCTAACAGTCTGATTTCCCTACACTTCCTCTGAAGGYAGACAAGGGAAGTGTCCTCTCCGGGACACTTCATGGAACCTAAATTCATCTTCTGCTCTGATCTCCCTCCAGAGAAATCTCTCTCCTCCTGTTTCCACTATTGAAGGGTCTAGGAGATATCATAGGGATTGTCCTGAAAGAGAAGTCCTTTAATACCTGCTTTCTCTAACCCTTTWAAAAAATTACATTTCTTACTCTTTCCAGACCAAATTAATCCATCCAAAACTATGAGGAAACTGGAAAATTTGCATGTATTAGAGCAGTTATTTATTTTTACAGTTACRAATTCAGGTGCTTAAGTCACTATCCAGTTCTGTCTAGGATGTGTGTAAATAACAAAGCCAAGCATTTTATATTTGAAAACAGGCCTCTTTTCAAGAAAAATTTTCAATATACAGTTGTTAGCAATTGTAATTATAGTTAAGAAAGAATAATGGAGTTCCATATAATTTTACAGTTGACAAAAAGGAGTTTATTTGATAGAAACTGATTGGTCAGCAGTGGTGCTSTGCTTCAGAGGCTCCTACTTTCCTCTCTTCAGCCTTAACAGTAACCATAGGACTGCTTTGTCTGTGGCTTGTGCTGTGTGGAATAATCATGGGAATGAATTACAGCTCATGTATCAGTACATGGTGAACAATCAGCAATTTTCCTACTCTGCCATCTCCCCCAGAAAAAGCTACCAGATCTTTCAAAAGTGTGCCATATGTCTGCAGTTGATCCTGCAGTCAGAGCAGTTGGTAGCAGTGGTGGTGCCCCAGCAAGAAGATAATAGGGAAACAGGGAGTCCAAAYAAAATGTGACTCCGTGCTGTTCCCATCCTGCTGAGCTCAGATGATTATATCCACGATCACAGCTCATCCCTTACTATGCCAGCGGTGCCACACCACAAACCACTTCTTCCTTTGCAGCCACAGTCTGGCATTATCACCCCTCAACAGCACACTTTTGCCAGGCTGTGTCAAGAAATGACCAAGGAAGCAGAGCAGCAGCTGAAAACCCTCCMGTGGTTAATATGCATTTAATGTGAGCTGCCAGTTGCATAATTTGAGTTGCTCATTGTTGCAGCTGGTGTAGGAWTGGGGCCTGCAAAGGGGTGACTTCAATAGAAGCCATAGCCAGAGTAAAATAAATATTTMTTTCAAATCTTTTTCACAGGATGTTCACTGTTCAAGTCGATGAAGACAAAGTCCAGACTCAGAGGTTGCCATCAGACCAGCCCATCTCTGTTAAGAGACTCTTTGTGGGGGGTACTACTRCTCAGTTTCAGACTGCACCTCTCAGAAACATACCACCATTTGAGGGCTGTATATGGAATCTTGTCATTAATGCCACGTAAGTCTCAATGAYGCTGACAAATGTCCAGTTAATGAGATCTGGTTAACGACCTTGTTTGCCAGAAGAAAGCTAATTGTTGTAATGAATCATACTAGCAGCAGATCCTAGAATATAATCTGTTTTCTTTATATGCTATTCCTTTTTTTGTCTACAATATATGCTTCATAGGCAATTAATGAGCTGTTTTACAGACAAGCCAATACTGTTTATCCATGAAATCTGAGAATTTCAATGGTAACACTGCTGTAAGGTGTGCACCAGCGATAGGTATTTACTATAACACTTTCTTTTAGGCAAGGTTGACTTCCAAGAGAAGTCAAAATTCTTCCAAGAGAAGTCAAGAAGTAGTTGCAGAACCACCATGGGAATCAATTTACTTTGTGGAAAGTGCAGTAATCTGGAAGGAACATTTAAGTAAAAGAAAAGACAATGAATAAAATAAAACCTCTATAGAAAGTTTCCATCTAAATCTTTCTTTYACATACCTGAAGTACCTAAATTAGGATTTTATCACTCCACATCAGAGTAAAGGACTTCTCTGCAATACCATTGAAGTTATGTAGGCCTGTAAAGTTTGCCAAAGAGGGTATCTGTCTCTCTGCACTGACTGGAGGAAGGAAAGCCAATGGTCATTATCAACTCTAGTTTAATGAGTTCTGTTCCTGTACCTACTTATACAGGATGGGATGAGTCCTGGCATTTATGTCCTGTGAAGTGAAATTACACAGTAGCATATAGCTGTTCTTTATAAGTGGGTGGTAAAAAGACAGAAAAAGTAAAAACAGACATCACTCTTGTTGTGTGTTCTCAGCCCCATGGACTTTGCCCAACCCGTGTCCTTTGAAAATGCCGATATTGGCCGATGTCCCAYGCTAGAACCTGAAGTTAGGCCACCTGAGGATGAAGATAAACCAACTCGTGCAACAGTTCTGGTCCAGCCTGAACCAGACACTAATGGGGAGAAAGAAAGGCCAAGAATTCCTCCTGCTTCTCCTCCTCCAACACCATCTCTATTGCCAGCACTTGTAAGTATAAATCACTTCAGTCAAGTAGAGTTTGAAAAGTTTCTTTTTCCAGACAAAATTGAAAGGCTATTCATCAAGAATAATGAAGCACTTTGCCACAAAAATAGTAACAATTCAGCATGATACTGTAAAGGAACACCTTGTTGCAGGTCAGTAAAACCTGTGGATAATGGAAAAGTGGTTGATGTTGTTTGTTTGGATTATCACAACAGTAACTTAAAGAATGGTATAGCTTTAGAATTCTCTTTGGCATGCGTGCTTAGCTGTAATCCCTTGCACTTCAGGGTGTAAGCCAAGCAATATCTGCTTGGGATTGGAAGGGAAATCTTCCCACAGGAAATCCATTTCATTATGATGTTTCTTGTGCTGTTCTCAGATGTGCATGATAACAGCCATGTCAGTGACAGGATGAAGAAAAAGATAAACCAGGAGGTCTATTTGATACAGCAATTCCCCCATTGCTATTTCATAACTTTAGTCGGGAGAATTACAAAATGAAACTCCAGTCACTGCTAAATTGAGCACAACTCCCAGAAATKAACCACTAGATAGTGGCAAGCAGTCTTATACAGCAAAATTTAGGGAAGAAACTTCTTCTCTCACTCTCTCAAGTGTAGTAGTTTTATAAGTTGATGCAACATTTTTTTGTTCACAAACCATGTTTACCTATCTGAATATTAAAATGTATAATACATACTCTAAAAGATATTATTGAGGGGAAAATTATTTGCATTTTGGTAGACCTGAATACAAACCCTCAGGTTTATGCAGGCTGTAGTTCAGTATCAGAGAGCTTTCAAAACTGTGTGAAAAGCCTGCACATTCCCCAGTTAGGAGCCTATTTGCATTACTGGAATTTACACTTCAATAAAACAGTTTGAGAAGTTAAGAGCTGTAATTACATTTGAGATACATGACCGTCTTTGTTGGCCAGGTATATATGGCACAGTTTTATCTAGAAGGACTTGTCAGGCACTACTGAAATCTCCAAACCACATGGAAATGGGAGCCTTGGGTTCGAGACAGGCAAGCTCCATCTCAGTTATTACTGTGTCCCAAGCCCCACAATTTAAATATCGGCCTCGCAGTGCTCTGGGGCAGCGGCTGTGATTCGTTCCCACAAGGTGGAGTAGTTGCAGCACAAGGGCTCCAGTGCAGCTTTTCTGTTTGGAGTTCAACGCAAATTTGCAGTGCAGTAAGGCTGCAACAGAAAGGTAAGGAGCCTGACAACAAAAGATAAAAAGGATTATCTGGTGTAATGCTCTGTGTTGTGAAGGAATTTAGTCATAGTATCCCTTGACCAAGCCTTATAAACAAAACAGAAAAAAACCACAGTGGAGCATGAAAGAGCAAGTGAACACTTTCTAAGACTATAAACACTAACTTTAAAAATAGCAAAATTGAGAGGAAGAGATCTCCTTATTAATATCAGAAACTAGTCCCATTGTAACTAGGTAGTTTTGTATATTGCATATCCAGAGCAGTAATAATTGAAAACAGGAATTAAAAATAAAAATCTAAAATAAAAATAAAAATCTAAAAATCTAAAACACCACTACTCCACTTCTCTTTTGGAAATAATGAAACTGTTTTCATATACTGAAGACTATTATAGTGTATTTTAGTATGCTGGAAACTATTTTAAATAAGGCAAACTTTTGGATAGCTGTTGCATTTCATATTAGTCAGTTCTTCGAAGTATTTTTCAGGTGACTGTTGCACTAAAGTAACTACAGTCTGGTAATGAGGTAGCACTCATGAGATGGCACTCATACAACAGTAAATTATACAGAATCTCACTGTAGAAGGACTGTATACGGAAAATGTGCAGCAGAATAAAGTTTTTTCACATACGAGGCTTAAATAAGGTTTGTATTCTATTTAAGTTCTTTTTGGACCTTTTTTATCTACATGTGTCCATCTGCATGTAAAAGGGGAGGGCAGTTAACTCCAAATGAGAAAAATGGGGAGATACTACCCTGTACTAAACACAAGACAAGATCCAGAAGTAGGAGATTTGGGGAATACACCAGCCAGCAGTTAGCTTTTTCTTGCTAGGAATGCCAGAATGTTTCTGAGCCCTGGGTAACTGCTGCTTCTGCCTCACGTTATTCCCGGCCCCTCAGGGTTCGCTTGCCGCTGAAACGAAGAGTGCCCGCTTTACTCCTGCTTTTGACTCCACGACGGTATCTTTGCTTTTGATGCACACATTTCTGCATTGTGTTATTAACAGTGTTCAGTGACCTGTGGGCAWTGCTTCAGTGCTCCCTTTCCCTACTAATTGCTTTCTTTGTAATTACTAACACAGCAAGTGAGAATATGGAAAATGTGTGACAATCCACCGGTGGCCTTTTCTGTTCTTCATTTCCACTGCCGTGTACACTGAGCTTCTTGACCTACCAGTCAAGTCCCTGACATTTTACCAGACTGATGTAAAGAGCAGCTGTAGAGTTCAGGCTCCCATGTAATATGGGAGATTATTAAAGCAGCCAGGGCACATTAAGGCCACTGCTCAAAAAACAAAGCTGACATATTTTAATACAGGCTGATGATCCATGCTTAGTGCACAGTCTTGTGAAGGCTGCAAAGCTGGCCGTCCTTAGATAAAACAAAAGTGAATAAAATATGTAAGATTTTTAAACACACGMTATTGAATTTTTTTTTCCTTTTGCTGGCTTTTCCATATCGGCCTAAAGAATGCTTACTATTGTAAGTAGTTAGTAAATAATCAGTGTATGCTATGATTCCAACCGCCATGGTGTGTTGGCCAGTCCTTGCCCTTTCTTAAAATAATCCTGCTGGAATGAAATAAAACTGCAGTGTTTGCTGATGCYGGGGAGCAACTTGTGTCAGGGTCAGACCCTTTACTAACATACCCCAGCCTAGGATTTAATTTACTGTCAAAATATCTCCTTTTACCTTGAAAAATGTAARAGTGTGCCAGACAGAAGCATGTGAATGTATTTTCCATTTTTTTCCAGTACCAGTTGTTCCCTGTCTTCAAATTTTAGCAAGCTCTAATGTTACCAAAGGTATTATATGCATAATATTGTTATTAACATAGTTGCTAAACTTCTAGATAAGCATGTAAATCTTAAAATAACTCAAAAYTTCACCCTGTATTATGGGAATATATTTTTTTTCCTTTTTGATGATCACTGGAAGACTGGTATCATGCATTCATAACCTTGCTTGGTCCTAGTGAATTTTCATTTCTTCTCTCCATTGCACATTGATGTATCAATTGTTCTTGTCATAATTGCATGGTGTTCTATTCTGTCATATTCAAACCAGAGCATTCATTATGGAAAAATGTATTTTTGAAGTGGTCTATTCTGTTAGGAAGATTTTTGTGACGTGTGAAAGCAAAAAATATAACATTACTGACAAACTCAGTGAGAGGGAAAAGGTATTTCCTTTTTGCAGTTGAAATCTCAGTGCTTAAGCCATTCACAACATTTTCAAAATGTTTCAGAGAAAGAACTCTGTCAGCAAGGCACCACACCTTGTGCGTTGCAGGTCCCTGCTGAGTCAGGTCTTAAATAAGAGACTGTCACCAATCCAAAATTACAGCAGCCATAGTGCTTAAAAACAGAGCTTGCAGCTATCAAAGTTTGTTTCTTTCCCAGCGGTATTGTCTGATATTGTGTTGWGTTAGATCCTTTGAGCAGTTTCTTCACAATACTCTCAGTGGGAGGCAAAAGCCAGACATGAGTAGACGCTGGTAATTACCRTGGTCTCGCATTGCCCCAGGCACCCCCTGTACAAGAGCTTTAGGACCAGAGATTAAAAGACCTGCTGAAATTAAAAGGAGAAGATTATAGTGGATGGAAGATATTTTACCTTGCATTGTTGCACCACTTCAAGATTAATAGAAGTGGAACGACAGGGAGGGGTTTCTGTCTTTGCCGCCTGGGTGATGTCTCTGCATCAGACAGCTGGGGGAGTTCAACAGTTGTTGCGTCTGTCCATCAGTTATTCGAATTCCCTGATCGTTTGTGGGGGGCTTTCAACAGCACCGGGGGAAACAACAGCACATTAGGCAGAGAATACAATTGTAAAACAATATAAAGAAGTAAAATGAAGARCTCATTGACAGCTGCAGGATCTGAAATTACTTTTAACTCATTATTTTTAAGGTGACTAGCTTTCAAGTTGACAACAAAGCATCTCTTTAAAACTTAAATCTTGCTTCRTTTCTGTAAGAGGGCATACTACTGTGTAGAACTCAGTTATGTGTGCTAAGAGTACACTGAGCTGCCTGGAAATCACTTAAGACTCTAGTAAATGTCCACTGGTGAAAGCATGAAAGCAGCAATGTTCATATATTACTTTTATTTGCTTTTACAGCCAGCTTAATGAGCTCTGCTTTTACACCAAGTTCCTGTCRTACTGGTTTATTACTTTAGCTGGTGTGATGAGACATCAGCACACTGGAAAATTGTAGGGCCCGTCTCTAGACTAGGTGCAATATTCTCAGTCCTGAGCAGTTGGAAGACTCCCAGCATATCCACAGCTGAGACAGATACAAAATATGAAGTTTGTATAATTGCTGTATATTTTGCAGGATTCCTGTGCTGCTGACACAGAACCATCAATTTTAGAAGGTGGCAAGCAGTTTGGTCTTTCAAGGAACAGCCACATTGCAGTTGCATTTGATGACACCAAAGTGAAGAACAGGTWTGTTCGTTCCAGCAGTGAGTTTTGATGGAATAATGTCACAATAAAATGTCCCTCCTGATTCTCTCAAAGGCTATGACATATCTCCCAAAACTATGGACATAATCTGAAAAAGATCACATCCCATGACTAATTAATTTTATTAAGCAAATCTAAAAAGGCATTAAAGTATGAAATCTAGGCAATGAATTGCCCACCTAAGTAGCTCTCACAAAAACAGTTTATCTCTCTGTTTGTAAAGGTTTGGGCACACACAGATCCCAGCCTGACTTGCAAAAGATCATACAGAATAATGGCACCAGGTTGTGCAGCTGAGTTCATAGATTGCTTTTTCAAAAGAAAGTTTTTTTTGTTCAGTAACTTGGTAATTTCTTCTAATAAGCAAAACTCTTTCCCCCTTTCTTCCAATAGCTAAGATCGAGCTTGCACAATAAACAGGAAAAATGACATTGCCACCCCAAAGTATAACAACATATACATATAGGCGTTGCCATGCAAAGGAATTCTATTAATTTCTTTTATGAATGTTTATAAAAATGCAGCTTTTTAATGGATTTGTGAAGCAACAACTTGTTTGTTGTTCATTTTTGCTCTGAAGGCACATGGTTATAAACAATGTGCCATGTCACACCACGAAGCAATTTTGCTGCTTATCATTTCCTAATCTATCTTAGCCTCACACTCATTTGTCCCTATAAAGATGTTGCACCCCATATTTCCACATACGCTAATTTTGGAAAACTGCAAGTGATCCTGGACTGATCATTTCCATGCAATGATTTTTCACATTTATATTATCAGTTGCTTTCAGGTACTGACTTTGCAGCTCAGCTTGAGCAGGGTTAGTGATGTGTTGCCAGTATTTCAGCATGAGAGAATCTAAATAATTTCTTCACAGGCTCTTTGCTGTAGAGGAGGTTTTTCAGCATTACCATTCTGTCCAAAGGGTCAGCAGGTTTGCTCAGACACAGCCTCATTTTCTCCTGGGAGAAATCAGGATAAGTGTTTTATATCCTCAYTGTAAACTCTTCTCTCTGCATCTTWAAAAGTTTTGMATCCTGTCTTCAGGCAATACAACTCATTAGAAAGTCAGCATTTGCCAGCTGTCACTACAGCTCTCTCCTCTTTGTGAGCATTATGTGTGTGGATGATGGATAATGCTGCTGGAATTTTACAAGTGCTGGGGTTTTCTRGCTGCTACAGCTGCAGCTGAGAATTATATCTTGAAATTCTGTGCCAAGATTGTAGGTTTGTATCTCCACAGCAAAGGAGCTAATGAATGCTCACTTGCCAGGGATCAGATAGGTGTGAAATGCAATTTGCATRTAASCAAATTATTTTTCTTGAACTCTAAYGGACAGGTAAAATTGGCTRCTRACTRTATAAATTTTTTTTAGCAAAACACAAAAATGTAAAGCAGATGAATTTGTCTAGTGTCTGACTCCAGTTTTCTTTTCCTTTGTTACTGTTTCCTGTGTGTTTGATTTCTAGGCTGACAATTGAATTTGAAGTCCGAACAACAGCTGATTCTGGCTTGCTGTTTTATATGGCCCGCATCAACCACGCTGACTTTGCTACAGTTCAGATAAAGAACGGTCTGCCTTACTTCAGCTATGATCTGGGGAGTGGAAACACCAGCACAATGATTTCCAACAAAATAAATGATGGCCAGTGGCACCAGGTATAATAGTCTCAATGCTAAATTATTCTTTGTAACRCTAATGGTGAGCTTTGTTTTGCCTTGAGATATTTGTAAAATGTAGAGTACAGAAGCCCAACTTTACAACCAGGATTTTCTGGGGAAAATAAAATCATCTAGCAAACTTTGTGTCAGATGCATTGGTACACAGGAATTTATTCTTCAGTAAGCACATATTTTTGAACATATTTAAAATATGTCCCACATATAGTAAAGAACAGCAGAAAATGTTCCTTCMTGCTTAATAGGGCTCATGTGAATATCGGCTCAGGATGATGGAATACATCATTAAAACCAGTTSTTTCTACATTAATAATATCATTGTTGAGCCAGAGTGCGAAGAACAAAGGAAAAAAAAACTAGTTATTTGTAAGTAAACCTACCCTGGATTATTAATTCAGTAGAGAATAAATATGATATTYGTGGATGTATTTGGCAGCRCTTTCTGTGACTTTATGAGAGGGARCATTATATGCAATGCCTGTGGCATTAGGATGCTAAGAGAAGGAATACTATCACAGCCATGAAATATATTATTTGCTGGGCCAAGGGCAACAGGCACACAGTGTATTCATCAGGTGACATTCTGGAAGGCACCATTAAAGACAGAGAAAACAARGATACATATAACTATGTGTTGAATTTATATCCTGTAAGTTACATTGAATTTTAAAAGTACAGATATTTAGAAATTCAGCATCCACATCTCATACCCAAATGAGAAAAAAAAATCTAATTGCATTTTCTCTTACACTTTAATTGCCTCATTCCCACTCTGTTCAGGAATTTTATTTTCATGAGATTTTTAGTCATGAACTTTTTGATGATAGCAACTGCTCTACACTAAGGTATTTCATAAGGGGAAAAATACGAAGTTGTAGTAATCATTTATCTCTTTCATATGATGCCTAGGAGCACTGGCAGCAGACCAAGGCCCCTTTCTGCTGTTCTCTCTGTACATACAGAAATGATCCTTTTGCTTCTTTAGCYATTTCCTCTTTATTCTAAGAGAACTAAATGGAGCATATATTTCTTAATGGACAATTGTGCTCTTTGGGCATGCAGCACAAGAGAAAGCCCCTTGTTGTAGATCCTGTTTCTGTAGGGGAGAATGGAGACAAAGTCACAGTTCCCAAAAAGCACAAAAAAAATTTGAGAAGGGGGAGGAGGGAAAGCTATATTTTTTAGGAAATGCCACAGTCTTTGTTTCTGAGAAAGCAGGGCCTTCTCCTTAAAATAACCCTTTTAGCGACAACCTTTTCTGCACATGGAATGATTTAGGTTAAAACACTTCCATCAGGCTTACAGAAGTCACTTGGTGCTTTTGCTATCCTGGTATTTATTTAGTTGTTCTGTAAGAATGTCTGTTCCCAGGTCCTGCCTCACTCACCTAATCTTCCTTCTGCCCAAGGTGTAGTTGTCCATCTCCAATTTACAGTTGCCTGTAACCACCAAGTTCAGCACCTCACCTTCAGGCCACCCTTGTCAGTGTTGTCATTCCTACTGCATGACAGATAAGCTGTCACACTGGAGCAGAAGCAGCCGTGCTAAAGAAAAGCCAAAAAATGCTGTTTGTCTCTCTTTGATAGTCTGGTGAGCCAACTACTGTGCTGTTTAGAAATCTGCTAACATGCATGATGCATTTTACATTTATGCCCCTTTTTATTCCAGACCATTACTTTTACTGATTTGTAGAGATTTCAGTATACACCTTTGGAAAGACATTGGCCTAGAATTTCCTCAGCTCTCCAGCAACTGCACTCACTCCATGAGATTCACAGCCCATTTGTCTGAACAGAARCCACAATACCAACAGAACATAGTTGGTATTATATTTACTCCATCATGAACTATCATCTGAGGCATGTCCAAGCTAGTGGAATCATAAACTCAATATTGTCTGCAAACATGTGCTGCTATAAAGATTTGCAAACCGGTGCCATAACATTCAGCATTTATTCTGAAGTACTTATCTATTCTCAGTACTTAAAATTACTGTCTGATTCCAGGAAAAAAAAAATACTGTGCTGTGTATATTATAACAATGAAGCATTTTAAARGCATCTCAAGTCTTTTCAGTATTTCTAATAAATAATAGCCATGGTGCTTTCTGACCCAGATGCAATTAAAAGACAGTCAGATGTTGGCACAAAACCTGGCTCAGGAGCTTTGTTCTGTAAATTTTATCCATATGGTACTTCTGTAACCACTCCTACTATTTTCTCATGTATTGTTCTATATTTTGGACTGWAAGATTAGTTACAATCTGGAAATGCTTGGTTGTCAGAAAGCTGTCTATAATTGTATTGCATTTTTCTGTCTTTCCAGATAAAAGTAATGCGAGTGAAGCAAGAAGGAAACCTCATAGTAGATGGTGTTTCAAACAGGACTGTGAGCCCCAAGAAGGCCGATATATTGGATGTTGTAGGAATGCTCTATGTGGGAGGATTGCCCATTAACTACACAACCAGGAGAATTGGTCCAGTAAGCAACTTTGTTTAAGTTATCTTATACTCCTTAAGTATGACTTGATTGGTACCAGTGTTTTCCCAGTTGTTTTTTTCCTTGCTTTTCCCTCAAACTGCTCAAGAATATGGATAAAATGGACCTTAGTGGTACACAACATTCTTTCAAAAAAAAAAAAAAAAAAAAAAAAAAAAAAAAAAAAAAAAAAAACCCACAACAGTAATAGTAGTTATTTACTGTTTGGAAAAGCAGAAAGTCAGAAAGTTGCAAAGACTTGAATCCACTTGGATAACTGCACAGCTAGAGTATAGGTTCCTGGGTACCTCTTGGCTGTAATTAATGTAGCAGCAAATGCTAATAAAGAGTGAAAGAATCTCCTACAAGGARCAGCAGAAGCCAAAATTACCCTGGAAAAAGTACCAGTTCTGCTTACTGTAATAATCAGTTTTGTGTTGCTGTTACTAAAAGAGGAGAGAGTGTTTTTGAAAGAAGGCCATGAAAATTCTGTTGTGCTCTTGCTGTTTCCAAATTACATGTTCCAGATTATCACTGTTTGGTTCAAATGCCCRGCTTCCGTGCATACATGGAAGATGGCAAACAGAGAGCCCAGAGAAATAAACATAATTTTGACCTAAATTTTGTGCAGTTAACTACGAACACTGTATTCTTTCACCCAGGCCATTTACTGTCTCTGCACAACTCCATGCCAGTCACCTCACTGATGCCCTTCCAACCTCCCAAGATACACCAGTACCACAATGGGAGAAAAAACCCTTCTGTGCTTTCTTTTGCTCTCTGTGCAGAAGGKTCTTTCAAAGCAGAAGCCAGAGCTTGAGTGAATTTATTACATTATATATATTTTATATATGTTTGCTACAATTATAATTGTAGCAAACAACATATCAGACATCTAGTGCAGCACAATTCAGATACACAAAACGATGGAATGGCAGTAGGAGCTCTGTCTGGGTTCATCCTGGGCAGCAGCAGAGAATCTATGAAGAGGAGGCAAGACACAAATGTGGGAAGGAAACAAAACAGACTCCCAAAAAAGCTGCACATGAATAAATACCACTGTACCAAGATGTTTATGGAATGGAAAATACCAGTGTGGATAGGCAAGAGTCCTCTTCTTCAGGAGGACAAAATAAATACAGAAAAGGAATTCTAGATCCTGCTTAAGTCCCTGTATTGACTCATAGATAAGGAATGAAGGGGATGAGTAARCACCCTACATCTGAGAGATGTATTCCATAAAGAAAACTGACCTGTAAGATGATATTTCTTAGTAAATAATAGATTGTGCAGAAAGCCCAAATTGAGGCAAATCTACTGATCATTTGGATTTACCAAACCAAATCTGAGGYACTGAAAAGTGAAAGCAATACTTAACTGTCCACAACATATAATTCCTAGTAGTATTAAATTATACTCTCTGAAATATCTGCAATTTACAAATACTAATCTAAGGAGAAAGATGACACTAAGTCCTTACCTATTGTTATTTGTCAGAGGTAATGGAAGGAACTCATGMAGATAAATGGCTCAGTCTGGCAATGAGAGTCATGTCAGGTCCTGACAATCTTATGTGCTTTGGGATTTAAATGAAGCTGTGACTTCAAATATTGTGTGAAAACCAGTGCTTGCTTTCCAGTCCCTCTCAGTGAAATACACCRTGATGTCAGACAGTCTTGTGTTGTACCTTCATGTGAAGGCTCTGAAGCAAACTCAGTTAAAAGGAGGTGTTACCTTAGTTAGGACTTTCTTCAAAATACACATTTGCCTTTTAGACAGTAATCCATTATGTAACCATAGGTGGGTTGGCTTCCTTTTCAGCGTAGAAGACTGATACCCACTTCTTTAGCTTCAGCAGATGTCACATTTTAAGCACTCAAAACTCTGCTTTCATCAAAAGAGGTCATATTACCTGTTACCATGCTAAAGTATAACTGGATTTGCTTTTCCATAGGGAAAAGAAAATTGTAAACTTAGGGAATGTTATCAAATTGTCTACAAATCTTGCATTTCTGTGGTTTATTCTTGCTGTGACAATTTGGGGGTTTTTCTGACATTCCTCTATTTTGATAACAAAATTTGTTGATCTGGAGATGACTTTCACTTAGAAATTACAGAAAGGTCTATTTATGAAGAATGACAGAAAGCATTGTTCAGCTCAGAACTGAATTTATTCACTGATACTGCTCAAGTTCTCATGCAAATACTGTACAGGTGTATTTAGCTGTAATAAGCTATATAATTTCACAATACATACAGTTTTGATTTGCAAGAAAATAAATTATTGGAAATTCTTTCCAATTACGAGTTGGCATATTGCTAGAGGAGGTAGTGTGCAGAGTCAAGTCTTCTCTCTGCAGGTGTGCCTTTTTCCTTTTTGTATTTGTGCATATTTCTAGGCTGGATTTTATACACTGATGTTTATTTTCCTCCTTTCTACTGCACTGCTTATGAAAATATCTTCTTTTTCTTCCTCGAAGTACATGTTCTATCATTTTCCTCTCTCCCAGTGGTATCAGGGATAGATTTTCATAACTCTTTAAGTCAAAGATCAAAGCCTCTCTCTGAATCTGAGAACCAAAATGCAGCTTTGCAGACCTTGGAGGGGAAAAGGGAGGGAGAACTCTGGAGGAGATGCCAGTGGCTTTCAGAGGTCCCACTGGGATGTCCTGGTCACATGCAGGTGCCCCCTGCCCCAGGCAGGATYGTGGGTGCTTACACAACTGTTCTAAGTGTGCCCCTCTAAGAGCCCTGTGGGGGTCACAGTCGTGTGTGCCAAACTGAGCTGCAGTTTGCTAACCTGCACAGGAGCTTCAGCCTCCACAGCACATCCCCCCCTCAGCACATTCCCCACCTCCACGTCCCTCTCTGGCCACCTGAGTGGCCCTGATCACTGCAGGCATCAGACTATGTGCAGTCACCAACCTTTACAGAGGCTTTATTCATTTTAGTAGCAATGTTTCCTGCATTACCTCTGTCTTACCATGCAACATTAGGCCCAGAGTAAAGTGATTAAAGGGAGAAAAAAAGAAAACCCACCTAGTAAAATTTCCAGCAGCCCAGAGAACTATATCCACTATCTTCATCTGCTTGCAAAGCCCATAACCTAGTCAATTAAAAAGGCAAAGTATAGGCCATTAAATTCCTGCATTGCTGATGTAATTTGCTATGTTTCATTATGCGGTGTATTATTTTATGTCTTCTCCATTAAGCCGAATAGATGTGACTCAGATCACATCCCTGAAAAGTAATGTAATTCATCCTCAGTATGACTAAGAGTAGATTCCAATTACAATCAGRTATTAAGGATTAGCCATGTAAAATTCAAGTTTTATTCAGCTCCATAAATCCAGCAGAGAAGCAGAGGAAAAGCATTAGTTGATTGCATACTTTAGGCTTGCTTCTCATAGTTTTACATTCTGTTTGAAATATTGACTGCAGGTCCTTCATAGCATTGATGGCTGCATCAGAAATTTTAAAATGACAGAATCACCTGTTGACCTGGATAATCCAACTTCCAGCTTCAACGTTGGGAAATGCTTTGTCACTGCACAGAAGGGAACATACTTCGATGGAACAGGCTTTGCCAAAACAGGTAATGAACAATTCTGGTGATAGTCAAAGAACAGAGAAAGAGGAGATTCTGCTTTCAAAAGCTCCTGTTGGCTGGAGGCAAATTGGGACCAATCCTTGAATCTCTCACTGATCATTTTTAGTTGTCTCACCTAAGGAGAGACTGTATGACTTCCTGGCAAGCTCTTGCACTAAGCACAATTGCCATAAAAGTTATTTACATGGTTTCACATGAAATGGAGTGCACTAACAATGCTGAGTTAGTTATTTTGCCTTTATCTCAGCATACTTTGAGTGATGATGATTATTAGAAATAATGTATTAGGTACWTATCTTCATTTTATTGTGCTTCCCCTTTTCTCTCCAAGTCGGTGCATACAGAGTGGGAACAGACCTGCTTGTGGAATTTGAATTCCGTACAACACGAATGAACGGTGTTCTCCTAGGGGTCAGCAGCCAGAAAATGGATGGGCTTGGCATCGAATTAGYAGGTGGAAAAGTAAGTAACAAAGCAGTTTTGTCTCTTCATAAAGACTGGTTTCAGACAGCACAGGTAGTTTAAATGCAAGGTTACTACCCCAATCTCAAGGTTTTTGGAACAATGTCAGAACTCTTGAAGGAGAGCTACACTTACAACTTTCCATACATCTGGATGCTCTTAGACTTTTAAAAGATTCTTTAAAAGATTCTGTAACACTTGAGTCTCCTGAAACTGCAGGAGTCTTAAATTAGTGACCGTAGAAGAAGAGGAGAGGCTTTGTCATTAATAATACTAGTTTCTGTTGTGGATATCTTTTCATTCAGTCTGGAAAACCAGTCATTATTCAGTCACTGTARAGGTTTTGAAAGGGTGTAAAACACCATAAAACTAAGAATGAAAAAAGTGGGAAAATGGCAACTTAGAAAGCAATTTTGCATATTTCTAGTTGTGTTTAGCTCAGTGATAGAAGTCAGATCCCAGAGGGGCAGCAGTCCACATAAAGTCTAGTATCAAATCAGTGCTTTGGTGTGTACAGCCAAACCATGTTGACTTCAAACAAACCAAAAGAACTGTAGAACTGTTTTGAAAACTCTCTGACTTCTATGCCATGCTTTTCAGGTGCTGTTTCACGTTGACAATGGTGCAGGCCGATTCTCTGCTGTCTATGAGCCTGACRCACCAGGCAGCCTGTGTGACGGACAGTGGCACCAGGTTCTTGCAAACAAGATCAAACACCGCTTGGAGCTGACTGTGGATGGCAAACAGGTGGAGACTGAGAGCCCGAGCAGGGCCTCGACCTCGGCGGACACCAACGACCCTCTCTTTGTTGGAGGCTACCCTGGTGAGCGTGCAATGCACAAATTGTGCTTTACCTATGCTCCAGTAGCACTGCCTTGGTAATGGCTGAAGTGTAGTTAGGACTGGTGTGCTAAAAATGATGGATAAGACAGACCAAGTTTGTATCAGTTGGCATGGATGCTCATTTCTGCATTCAGATGCATTTCAGAACAAGGAGTTCTGCAACAAGAGACGTTCACAGATACCCCTGCCCCATTTCAAATTTAAGCACTGTTACAGAGCATCAGACAGACTTTGTGCCTTCTGCTGCTCACACACACACACCCTCCCTCTTAAAACTTTCTGTTTAGTAAGAGCACAATAGTTATGTTGTGGTAGTAACAGCATTTGGCATATTTAAATTTAACTCAAGAATAGCAAAGAACATATATATGCCCTTGAGGGGGCAGTGCACAGTGTGTTTAAATCAGCCTGTAAAACCTGAGGAACTGAGGAATATGAACAACAGCTTGCACAGAGCCGTAAGAAGACACCATCTGATTAATTCCTTTGCTTGTGGTCTGCTGGGTTTCAAAGGGAAAAAAAAACATAATCTACATTTGCTAATCAGTATTCTGGAAGCCCTCAAGAGAACTTGCTTTATGCAGAGTTAATTGAACAGTATCGAGAATGGGCTGAGCTCTGTAGCTGGCTTCATCTCCCACTAAGCTGATAATGAATTCTAGTGTTCATCTCTTCATAGACAGTCAATAAGTATTYTAACAACAGTTTACTTTCTGMAAATACAGTTAATATTTTTGCAAAKTACCAWTTTTRTTGCATTTATAATAAATTTTCCCTCTAGCTTGAAAACTAAAAAGCAAAGTGTGTTTGCAGTATGTGTCTGCTCTAGTGCATACTGAGGTCCATGGCAAGACACCTCTGCATTAGTTAATTCCCAAATTTTCTGGAAGTTGTTTTTTCYCCCATTCTAATGTCGGATACAATGCATCCAAAAAGCCTCTCTCCCAAGCTTTGGAACACTTTAAAACATTGTCCTTTGTATGGAGATATGAGAGTTGTGCTTCAGTCACAATGACTACTGATAAAGACCAACAACTTTGTGCCAGAAGGAAGACGGCTTTGTGGCAGCCTTTTTATAACAAAACAAGATTTTAGCATATGAGCCAGCACTGAAAGAACACTGCAGATGGAGTTACTGTCTCRTTCTGGACTGGGTATCAAGAGGAGAGGCACAAATCGCACTAACACTGCAATCTGTACAGAGCAAGCCTACACTTACAACAGGTTGAAGTGACATTCATGAGTTCAGCCACATGGAAAGTTATGAAGTTATTTAATAAACCTACTGCACGTGTAAACACTTCACTCTTCTTTTGCTGTCTAGTCTAGCTCATCCACAATTTGTTTTAGCATTGTCTAGATRTTGAGAATATATTGAGAATATTTGAAATAAAGTATTAAGCGTTTTGTAAAATTAGTATTTGTATTTTCCAGTCTTCTTGAAGGTTCTCATGGCTACATAAACAGTGCAAAASAGTTGTAAACCAGCTAGAATTAGCTGATGGAGAGTTTTCTGTGTAGAGAAAATTTTCACCACCATAGTGTGGACAAGAATTCCTGGGTACCCATAAAAGATAACATTCATCTCCTGGTATCACTCTTCCCTGTGCAAGGAGAGACAGATGGATTCAGCCACCTTATCCTCTGTGAAACAGAATAATGCTATGGCCAGACGTTCTCCACAAGTGTTAAGTTACTTCTGCAACTCTTACTTTATCAATCACATAGATTTGTATCATAGTGCACCCCTGTAGCCACTTTTTCACTTGGAAGAACACTGAGAAATGAGCTGAGCCATGAATTTCAAGCAGTTGAGAGAAGTATTTCCAGCTTCCCAGTCAAACCACCCTCACTTCCATCCCCTCCTTCATTAGTGGAAGAGATTAGCCAGTAAACCCCTGGCTTTGCTATCAGCAAGGGGAAAAAAACCACTTTAAAAAAATGAATACTTAAAAACTGCCAAAACCAGTCTGTAAATGACTTCTGAAATCCATCCTGAGGAACTGGCTTTCGTGTGATGTTAGAGCAGAGAATTGGAACCATTTTGGCCTTCTTTTTCCCTCTGTTTTTCTGTGGATAAATAGCTTGAGACATTGAATATCTGCAGAGCAGCAAGTATGCATCGTATGTACACCGTTTGTAGGTAGCACGCTTCATATATGAGTTACAGTGGCAGTTTATATGTGCTCAGATTCTGCCACTGTCAGAGTAGCATGGAAAAAGAAAAGAAGTCTGGATTGTTATCTGACATAAGCATTCATCATATTTACTCATAATGTTTGTAATTTTTTAATAATGAATATTTGCAGCAGATAAAACATCCGTATATTGCTGGGGACATCTGTTCCCGTGCAGGACTCTCAAAGAACAAAATCGAGTATCAACTCAAAGTAACATAATTCCTTTTTCATTTTTTTCCCTCCTTCAGATGGTGTGACCCAGTTTGGGCTGACGACTAATATCCGTTTCAAAGGATGTATTCGATCTCTGAAGCTCACCAAGGGTACTGCAAAACCTCAAGAGATCAACTTTAGCAAAGCTTTGGAGCTGAAGGGTGTCCAACCACTGTCRTGCCCTGCAGACTAAATGTCATTCAGCCATTATGGGGCTGTTTATATAAACACCTCAGATTTAAAAAAAAATCTATATCTACATTGCATTCATAATAAAATGTCTTTATGCAAATATTTGAGTCGTGTTTGTGTTATATTCCAATGGCTATTTCAGTGTGCCTCCCAGGAATGCATGAACTGATCCCTTCCCTCCATCCCCTTCATTTAGGGAGTAGAACAGTTATTTTTATCTGTCTCTTTCGTTATAGCTTGAAATGGAAATGTTTCATCATTCTTATGATGAGTGAGACCACATATTTTGCAGAGTGTTCCTGTTTCGTGGAACACAGAATTACAGAATATCTCAAGTTGGAAGGGAACCATAAAGATCATTCAATCCAACTCTTTGAAATGCTCCCTAAATGCTTTGGTGAGGTAAATCACTAAATTTGTGTTCCTTCACAATTCTAAATACAATGCACTTGTGTCCAAGCACAACTTTATCCTTCATTAGCATATTAATTTACTTCCAAAAATTATGCTTTGGTCACTCCCAAGAGCTTTTAGAAAACTTTCCTGATCATAATATTTCCCATGAACTTTCACTGAAAAATTAATTTTTTTTGTAGTCTACATGGCTGCTGTGATGCTATAGTTGTGGAACCATGTGCAGGAAGGAAAATGTTAGTATTTCATTAATTTAATGGGGATTATTGACAAAAATATGTTGCACCTAAAATCCCTGCTGTGTCATTTGCACTGAATTTTAACAGAGATTACATGTTTTGGTGTTGGGACATCAAGTCTCCAATGGAGGGAGAAGAACTGAGTTCTATTACTTACCTCAAAATACAGCTTTAAATGATCCTAAATAAATAAAGTTTACATTGCTACTCTCTCCTACATGATATTGAAGTTATACATAGCAAAATCTCCGACCAAATTTCTATAGGGAGATGAAATCTTGTCACTTGGAGCAGAATAGAGGTGAAGCAGAAATTTTCCAGAGATCATTAGCGTGGCACCTACCACAGATTCATAGTGTTATCGATTAGTGGAATTCTTACCTTAAAAGTAGGTTCCAAAGTTCAACTGTACTGCTTCTGCTTGATGCTGTCAGTTTGTGAGGAATACTGAATGAAGAAGCCACCCCAAATCCTCCTKAAATAAAATTTATAGTGCTATGGGGATAGCAGTTTAAATATAGCTGGAGAGAGGAAAGTTGCTTCCTTGATTCCCACTACCATGCTAAATCCTAGGGATWTTCCCTGTGCTTTTTCTGTTTCAGAGGACTATGAAATAATCACTGAAAAGTGGATTATATTTTCTGTGGATTGTTTCAAGTTGTTAAACTGTAGTTTTGCAAAGGTTGTGATTGAACATGCAGAACTGGACATGCAGCTGCTGTACAAATGTAAAAAAAAAAAAAAAAACCCTACCTACACAAAAGAAAAAAGAACAACAGAAAACCAGTATGGTAGCACAACCATGCAATTAAATTAAAGAGATTTTTAAAATTATTTTGTTCTGCCCACAAAGAGCCTTGAATACACATTTTCAGAATTTCTGACATTACTAAAAAAGGCAGCTGCAAAATTTGTGCATAGGCTAGCTGCAAAATTTGTGCTTGCCAGGRAGCAGTCCTGCAGGAGTGCTTTGTATTTTAGAAAAAGCTTTTTTGGCATACAATGTTTCTTAAAACTGCCATGGGAGAAGAAAAAACTTTTACACTGGGAAAGTGCATTAAAGAGACAGYAATAAATATGTATACTGGCACTCTAACAATTTGGGGAGTCTACATCAATCAGATACACCTAAAGAAAAACCACCTAACTCSTGTGAAGTCTTGAAGTAATTGCCTTCAGCAAGTGTTCCAGTTTTAGTTGCAACTGGCCCTTAATGTTAACAAACAGTTAATGGCTGTGCAGTGTTGTCTGTGTTCAAAGTGCTAAGAATTAGGAAAGCGTGCATTTGTCTCTGAAAAAGCCTAATTATTGGACATGKGCTGTCTTTAACTTCTACATGGTTGTGCTTCTAACAAGCACACTGTAAAATATTCATGTGTTTCTATTTTATTTTTTATGCCTACTCTCATCCCTATAATAYTTCAGGATAGTTTGAGCAGCTCAAGAAAAGCAGGCCACAGCACTTCAACTACAGTTGATATTTCCAAAAGTCTTAAAAATATAAACAAATGAAGCCCCAAGACAATGTTATTGTTATGAATTTCTCGCAACACCCAACAGCCAATTGTTGCCATACTACATTACCTAGGCATATTTCGTAGCCTCTACATTCAACATATTGGATTCTTTTTTAACCCAAACTTGCTTGCAAAGTGTTTGGGCACTAGGGGTTTGGGGKTTTTCTTTGGGGGCAGGTTTGAAGACACAAGGGAAATTTGAACAACTCAACCTAGAGCTCCATGAGTTAAACCATGCCCAGCCTCAGAGACAGGAAATTACCACTGCTCTGGCCAGTGCTGCATCAGCAATGGTCTTTCACATAAATATGTCCTTGCCTTTGAAACAATTACTGGAGTTTCTGAATAAAAGAAGTGGAATGGGAAAAAAGAAAAATAGAAGCCTTTATGTTCTTAGCTCTGTTGAATTATTTCTCTCTTGCATGACCTTCCAGGAATGCGTGGGACACAGCAGAAACAATGAAACAATGCACATTATTACATTTCTTGAACTTTCAAGTGGAAAAAATCAACCATCTGCTGTCCTCTGCTAAAGGAAATACACTCAGTAGGCTGAAACAACAGCTACTTCAGCAAACAGGCAAGCTAAAACGAAACAGAAAAACCTGACTAATTTGTTTTCATACATCACTGAGTGGATGCACCAAGTACTGTTAGTAAAGCTTTCTGCCTTTGAAGATTCAGCAGAGCATCTGGGAATGATCCCAGCTCCCTGTTACTCCCTTTTGCCATACTTGAGATTAATAGCTTGTCAGATTTCAGATAAAGACTGAAATTGGCTGAAACCAGCAGGTTATGAGCTTCAGAGCCACATGTGACTGCTAGAGATTRTGCCACTGCTGACTGTGCTGGGAACAATGCAATTGAACACTTTTCCAATTCAAGACTGCAAACTAATATAGGTCTACAAGGCACAAGTATTTTAAACCTTATTTTGGTGGATATTTTGCATGCAGAGGTTTTTACTGCCTTTTTTTTTCCCTCACACTTTAAATACTCAGTTGCTAAATTTCARAACAAAAAACTTGCATCCAGRTGTTYTTAAAATTGTTTTAAAATTGATCTTGTCAAGTGATGTCACTTTTAGGCATTTATGATGAACAGTCACTCTGAAGAGACAAATCAGGCCAACTGCTATGTTGAAAAAAGTTGTGTTTTCAATTTTAAATACAAGCAGTTCTCAACTTAAACTTTTTGCAAAGAATAATTTCATTTTTCATTCCATTAAATCATACTTTCACCTCTTTATAGAAGCTTATAAAGAGAACATTTTTCCAGCTTAGTATTTTTCTTTAGAATGCACAAGAAAAAATGCTAAAAAACCCAAACCATTTTTTCTATCTCTTTTTTTTATGAGAGAAACCACCAGAAATGTCAGTTCTAGGCCTTCCTTTGTTCAGCCTCTGGGCAGTATCAGATGTGTGCTGAGGGGTTCCTCAGCACATGCAATTTGAATTTTTCACTGACTTGTTTCTGACCAACAAGAAAAGTGTATTCCATACCTTTCATAAGGGCACATCTACTGAAGGAAACCAAAAGTTCCAAATGCCCACAAACACACCACTTTTTAAACTTTTAAGAAGACCTCGCAGTTTTCAGCTGTCTAAGATTTTATAAAAACAAATCAAACTCTTCTGAAAATATCCTCACTGGATTTTTAACCTTTTTTCTTCTTTTTATCATGTACATTTCCTAATGACGAAAGTCTACCAGTTCTTTTCATCATCATGTCAGTCAGTCATCCATCAAGTCTCAGAGCATACACACAGGGTGAACTTCTGGTGTAAATAAGTAGAAAGGATTATCACTGTCACCTTTTCAGCCTTCATAAATAGACACAAAAACATACAGACCTTTCTTCAAAAGAACGTAAGAATGTCTTAAATACACAGCTGGTGTGTCATACTATGAAACTGAAACAAGATCCCAAATATTTCAGGTTATATATTTCTATGGAGTTATTCTTTATACTCAAGGGTACAAATAATTTCTTCAGGTACCTGAAGTCCCAGATAATTCCCAATATGATCCATCTGTTTCAACTCCAAAAAAAAATCCTTTCCTGTTCAAATTTACTGGGCAAAATGGGAGCATTTCAGAAACTAAAATATCTAATTTAAGCAAAGGAAGAAAACTCTAGGGAAAAATCTCCAACAGTCAGTGCTCTCATACATTTTTAATGCTCCCACAGGAAMCAACATCATTCTTTAGYCCAAATCTAACACCTATCTCACAGKTCTCACTKGACTATGGACTTGATTCTTCCCTTRTTTTGAAGACACTKCACAAMACTSTCCTAATGCTACAGTCCCCACCTTTTRCTCCATCTTTTTTAAAAGTATGTTTGAATACAAAATTAAACTGCTGCTTCCTGCCTGCCCAGCATTTATCCATCGCTCCGTAATGAAGATAATAATAAAAGTAGGTATCTAGAGTTTCAAAGACTATCTTTTATGATATACAGTATTTGCAAAAAGATCTGCAAAGCTGAATAAACTGCTGTGACATCTCCCCTTTTAAACATAATTTATTTTGACAACTTTGGTTCTTGTAGTTGGCATGAGCAAGGAAGGATGACTGGCAGTTGAGGCCCTAGAGTAGCTACATTTCCTGTGGTTTTCTTCATTGCAATTCTGTACCACAATACAGCATGAATTTGATTCAAACAGCCAAAGGCCTCACTCTTTCACTGAGTTTCATGTCAACAGAATGGCTCTCTGGGAGATGAAAAACTGCCCATCTCTGCATTGAGGGAACAAAGCACAGAGTGATGTGGACTCCTGTGACCCCCAGAGGCAGAGGGCTGAGTGGAATCAACCAGAGTCCTTTTCTCCACAACTTTGAATTATATGAAGTTACAGTCATCTTAAGCACTGAGGTGCCTGGAGGTGTAGAGTGGCCTAAGACAGCAGGGAATGACACCTCTACAGTTT